CTCGTTCTTGCGGCAGGCTTCGCAGTGGCAGGCTACGCTTACCACAAGACATACAAGCGTATTGTACTGAAGAAGATGACCCGCGCCTTCACGCCGGGTGACCCCGTTCTTGAACTTGCCGCCATCGGAAAGGAAGTGCCACAAACCTCCGCCGAGGCCGATGATCGGTGGGTGCAGCGGCCAGAGCAGGCGCGCGTCGATAGAATCATCGACGGATCAGAGGCCGGGCACTATTTCTTGCTCATGGGCGAGAAGGGGACCGGCAAGAGCAGCATGTTAATCGAGGCCATGCGCAAAATCGACGGCGAAGGCGTGGCCATGTTTGAGGCCCACGCAGATTTGGAGATTGTGCGCATACGCCTCGGTAAGGCCCTCGACTTTGAGTTCCACGAGGATTACATTGGCGGATACTTCAGCGAACGCGGTCCTCGCGATACGACGGCTCTATTGGATATCGAACGTGCCCTCAACAAGCTTGAAAAGGTTGCTCTGGTCAACCGGTCTACGCGAAAGAAGCCCCTGGTTGTCATCATCAACCAAATGCACCTGATCCGCGACGACGACGATGGCAAGGATCTGATTGAACTTCTCCAGCAACGTGCCGAACAGTGGGCGGCGTCCAACCTCGTGACAATGGTCTTCAACACGGATGACTACTGGGTTTATGAGCGGTTCAAGCAGCTGGCTACGCGGATGGAGATCATGTCGGTGCGCGACCTGCCTAAACGCCAAGCTATCGCAGCTCTCGCAAAGTACCGCATCAAGTATTTCAACGAAAAGCTAAGCCCGACGAAACTCGAGGAGGTCTATGACCTTGTAGGCGGCCGACTATCATTCTTGAACCGCGTTGCAAAGAGTAGGGATATGATTGCTACTTGTAAATCCATCTGCGCGGTCGAGAAGACATGGTTCCTCAACCAGTGCTGGATTCTCGGCGCCGAGATGGATGACGACGTGATGGACCAGCAGAAGTGGGCTGTACGTAATCACCCTCCCTTTTACATATCGTCATAACTTGGCACAATGACTCTCTCTAGTGGGCAAACTGATCTGACAATCAATGACAGGCCGGCGCCATGGTCCTCGCCCAAGCCCTCGTAGATGAGGAAGAAGATATGGAGCTTTACGACGAGGAAAAGGGCCATATGCTGCCCAAATTTCCCATGCACAAGGCGCAGCAAATCATGACACGCGCCGACTTCATCCGCAACATGGACCGGCTCAACCTTTTCAGTATCGCGGCCAACGCTGACGTCCGCGCCTCATCTGTGCCCATGCACCGCGCATTCCAGGAGATCTGCGCCGAGAAGGGCTTCAGGGATCATCTGGAGGCTACCATCCAGCGCATCAGTGACATTGAGTCGCTCGGCCGCACGCGCGAGCTTGTTGCCAAGGACCTGGTCCTCGGTGGCAAGTATGAGATCGCTCGCGACGGCAAGAACGGCGTCACTGTCAAGCTGATTGAGGGTGAAGATCGAGGCATGTACGTCTGAGCCGGAATGTGCTTTGGACGGGCCGCCAAGAGTCCGATGGCGGTATAGGGTTCACCATTGAGGCTGCCAGCTCCAAGAGCTGTGCTACCTTACGACACGAAACCGAGCGATTGCGATGGTACAGTGGGACGCGAGCTCAGATCTGATGACCCCCTCCACTGGCCTACTTTGCCAATCAACTCCCGGGACGACCCTTAGATCGGACAAAGATCTGTCGCTGATCGATTATGCAACTGGGTCGATGGACTCGGCCGATATAGGATGAAGCTTGAAGAAATGAACATGACACAGGCTTGCCAGATACGTGTCATCCATCGAATGGGACAGCTACGAGTTGGATGTGTGGCTCATCCAGATGCGACTTGCGCGTTCACAGGCACAATAATGCGTGGCTGGGAAGGCGATGGCCCCAGCCTGTACGATAGAAGACGTTTGCGGATAGATCCTGGGCTCGCTGGCTTGTTATCGTAGAGGAGAGGGACTTTCCTGTCCCCTGTGCGATGGCCGATTCAACGCAACGTAAATTGCATTTTGCAGCAACTCGAAAGATTTCTTTTGTCTCCAATGACCTTGTAGCTATCAATGTAAACCTACCCTTGCTCGACTGCACGTCCAAACCATGCTATTCCGTGGATACCAATCGTTGCCATCGTGGCTCGGCATCCCGGGGTCTGCTCCAGCTCATCTCGCGACAAAGTACTTTTTGTAGCAATGAACAGCCCATCAGATAACGCCGGTTAGGTGGAGACCACCCCATGTTCGACGACATCACGACTTTGACGGTTTTGATCAGGCCTGTCCCTTGTCAATCCACTCGCCAGGCGGTCAGATCGTAAGTGAGCGAGTACCGCATCCCGTTGGTCCAAATGTCTCTGCATGTCTCGGTTTCGAGACGTCGGGATAGTACTCTCAGACTCTGCAAGTGTAAAAAAGCAAAATGGGTACAGACAGACGAGGCGATATGGAAAAGAGAAGAGAAAAAGCAAGCAAAACCCTGAAGACAAAGCACGTACCAACCACCACCACCACCACCACCCCGCGCCATTCTCTCCCGTAGCGCGCCGCCGACCTTCCCGAAGCGCCGTTCCGGGGAATACCCCTCTCAAACACCGGCCGACGATCCTGTGCGACGTGAACACGGTAGGTTGGTCCAACCTTGACAGCGACACGTCCCGTCTCCTTCCCAGCCGTAACAATGGCTGCTCTCACCTTCCTTTGCTTCAATGTTCCCACCAAATCCTCCTTCGATGCGCCCCCTCCTCAGGGACTCCTCTTCCCTAGACTCTGCACTCAAGAAGAACCCGGGGGCAAATGAAATGCGGAGAGCCTCTCCGCTTTCCCAACGGTCGCACCACTTTCTGTCGTGTCTATAGCGGACCATCAGCACCTCGAGCAAACAAAAACACCCCCCTCCAACGAAATCATCCGATATCCGTACGGTGCAGCATAACTAAGGATGAACCAGACAATCAACGCACATACGGCAGCCTTCCGCCCGAGTATCCGACGGGAACGAAATGGGTGAACCTGAGTCTGTTACTCCGTACTTGGTCAGTTTGTATGCACTCGCCCATTCGAGATACGATACCGGCGCTGCCTGGGATACTCTGGGCAGTCAAGGTAAGAAAGCAACAAGGTCCAATCCGTCCGGCGCCGAAATTCAACAGACAAGAAACAATCAGTGACATCTCCCACGGTCAAAAAACCCCCCGTTCATGCCTCAGACGTACAGATACATCGACCCAGGCCCCTGGCCAAGAACAAAGGGGAATTACCTTAGTGTAGCCTGTTGGGCCCCCAAAATCTCTCCAACGTCCTGTCCTCTCCTCTCCGAGCTCACCCCCTGGTCCCATAATCTGTAGATTGCGCACCATCACGCCGCCCCCGGTTCACCCGTAGCTCCAACCTCCAACTGCACCGTGCCAGTGCAGCAATGGCCATCGACAGGGGCCCTGCGGCCAGAGAGAGACAAGAGCTTGGAGGCCTGCCTGGAGGATAGATGGGTCTGTGTCTATCTGCACTCTGCAGAGCATGCTACCTATTGCGAGGTTAGCTCCCTTCACCCTGGACTCTGGAGTCTGGAGTCTCGCGAGAGTGCGAAGGACAAAAAGATTGAATCTTTTTTTTCGTCTTCAATGTGCAGCCGAGCTCCGTTTCCCTGCAGCATCTCACAGCGACCATCCCATATCCGTACTCCGTACGGATACAGATAACCACCCCCCACCCCCACTACACACCTCGACCCTGACCCTGGAACTAACACCCCGGCACCCCTTCCATTCCAGCGACCGGCTCCCATCCAACGGGATAACAATGTCCGTTCTCGACATCGTTGGAGGCAAATCGAGACTCGGGAGATGAAGAGACTCGGGAGATGAACCGGTACTTAGATTTGCAGACCAAGATAATTCCAGACGCAATGATCAGTGCCGGTATCTGACCTCTCCCTTATGTCTCCTTCACTGATCATTCATGTTACGTGGAAATGGTCCCACGGCAGAAAGTACGCGACTGCAGAGCAAAGAGATGGGGCCGGGGTGAGTGGGAGGGATCATTCGGCTCTCACGGCCGTGTCGGCAAATAGGGATCTTCACTGCACAACCCATCGTTTTTGTCCGAACATGCACCCACGCATCCACGCTTCGGATGCGAATATCGGACCATCCAAAAGTCGTCCGAGGGCGGCATATCACTCCATCCCACACGCCTGGTCTACGGGTATACGGTATTATACTTTGCGAGATGGCTTCTGTGAACAGCAAGATTGGCATCAGAGCAGAATGCGACGTGAGACGGGATTGCAAGAGTGAGGAAAGGCGCAACCAGCGCAGATTGTATTGTGTTGCGGCCAAATCCTCCAGTGCCATGATACTGGCTTACAGTACTTGCACGCATCGCTTCCGACATTCCCCAGAGCTAATACCGGGGAAGCCGTTCTACGAGCGGAACAGATGTTGCGAAAAATTCAAATCGGAACAGAGTCCGAGCCGCCCAGATCCAGATAGTTCCTTGTCCGTCCCATTAACCCAAAGCCAATACGAAACCACAAGAAAGAAGAAAATATGAAAACAAAAACTGGCAGCCAACCCTCCCAAAGTACAAAAAGAAACGCCGTGCGGAGAGCAGAAAAAAAAAAAGATCAACGTGACGACACGCTAGCAATCTCCGACTGCCATCCCGTCTTGGTGTCTAGGATGCCCGAGGTTCAACAATCGCTCCCCCTCTGTTGCCTATCCCAATCCCATGGCGTCGTGCGAAGCCGGAATGCAAGTGGCCCCTGTACATGATGTCGCCCCCATGACATGCTTCCTCCAGTAACTCCGACCACAATAGTGCCGACCCGAGAAGGAAGAGGGAAGATATGAGTGAGAAAAAAGGTAGAGAGAAAAAAAAATACAACGAGCGGGTATACCGGGAAGAAGGCAATAAAAGAAAACTTTGAAGAGCATCTGGCGAGTACAAGAACAGCGCGGATGGATTGGCGCCATCCACCGTGAACTGGCTAGTTCAGGTGCACAAGAAATCAAGCCCAAGGCGTCTGGCAACGCCCTGCCAGTCCCAGACAGAGATCCATTCACCACACTCCATAAGATGCCAGACTTCTTCAAGGACCTCGAGGACTCTATCGCAGTTGCGAAGACCTGTGTAGCCCCGGACGGACCGGATGATGCCTCGAAGTCGCTCTTGCTGTGTGGGGTCAAAGCACGTAGTACCAATAACCAGACTTGGCATCAGCAAAAGGGTGAGGGCTGGGTCTGATGGCTTGAAACCCTCCATAATCGATAAGGACTCGTCCACCGCAGCAGTGATGCGATTATCATGCTGCTGCGGGCGACGAACTGGCGGCGGAGAGGCTGGGCGTTGCTCATCAATCACAGCGCAGCTCGAGGACCCGGCATCGGATTCGTGCATCGAGCTCGTCCTGGACGGTCCTCGAGAGTTTGGCTCCCGTTTGAGCTGCATTGAAGAAGGGAATCCAGAACCCATGCTGGGTCTCAGGCCGGGCGACGAGGCGCAGCTCGTAGCAGTAGACGGCCTAGAGATTTGCGAATGCCGGCGGGAGGAAGACGAAGATGTTGAGGTGGCGACAGATGTAGCTATGGAGTAGACAGAAGGCCGTCTCTCTGGAGAAGTAGGGGGGTAGATTGTGCGGAAGAGATGCAGGAACATCATGTGCTTGTAAACCAACCCGACTCTGTGACGACTATCGCCGGGCGGCCAAAGAGGCATCCATTGCTCAATAGCCTCTTGAATCTCTTGCGCTCGATACAGAACGTGATACGTTACGACAGTCTCGGCGCGTCTGTAAATGTTATCCCGGATGGCGTTTCGGATAGTGGTTATGTGGCAGAGGTATTGAAACAGGCCATCGGCAACACCCAGAAGACGAGGCGAGTCTAACGGGACCAGAGGGCTCCAGTCTTCGGAGGCTAGGCGTGGGCGATTAGGTGCGGGATGCCAAAGTAATTCGTCTGCATAGATGTGGTACTGGAAGAATTCGGTGATGAAGGCTAGAAAGACGGGATCCTCTGGAGGCGTCTCTTGGATCAATTGCTTGTAACCACTCAGGTGCACACGATGCGCGCCGTGGGGTTCACCCTCAATCAGGGTGGTGACGAGGAGGCAAAGGATCTGGGCATAGCGGGCCGACAAGATTGTTTCACGATCCTCGCTGTCCTCTTCCGCCGAACGATTCATGTCGGCGTACAGAGTCTTCATCGCTTGTTCCTCATGGTACGCTGACCGGGCCTGTAGCGCCTCAAGGGTAGTTGTCGGGTTTCTCTCGAGTAACTTGGCGCCGTACGGTGTTTCAAAATCAATGTGTTTGCTGCTCATGGCCAGGATCGAGTGCATCACGCCTTGGTGAAGGTTCGCCAAAGGCAGAATGATGTCTTTAAAGGCATTCTTGGCTTCCCCCTCGACAGTCAGGACGTTGCTGAGATGGACGCCGTAGTGTCTCCAGAAGATCTTGTCCTCGATCGTGTCGACACCGTTGAACAGAGGCTGCATAGTGAAAACGAGTGACTCTTCGTCCCCAACGTGATCTTCGCCCGGGTTAGACACCGTCATCTTTGCCGCGTTCATAGGTGGGCACTCACCAATGGTCGCCTTTTCTTTGCCGCTTCTCCAGAGCTTCTTCTCATGATAGCCCTCGCAGACGACGGCATTCTTCTCACAATTCATACCTACGTACGTGTTAGTGGAATCCAAGCAGTCACGCGTCAGCAAAACTTACATCTCGGCTTCGCCTCGTCACACTTCTTCTTTCGTCTCCGACAGGTAATGCACCCTGTCTTGGATCGACCCTTGGTCACCTTGCTTTGATTGATAATCGATGCTACAGGATGCTTGCGGGGTCGTCCTCGGGGTCGCTTCTGTTTCAGCGAGTTTGTGGCCGATACCAAGGTAGCTTGTGTTTGAGCTAATGGGGCCTCCTTGACATCGTCCAGATTGAAGTCGTCGTCCAGTGGTTCAAGTTTGGGTATGGCGAGAATGTCGTCCGGATCCTGTTCCCATACAATGTCGTTGTCAGCGTCGTCTCCATCACACGTATCGGCGTGGCCGGTGCTCCAGGAATCGGTGCAGGACGAGGATGCGGAGTGTACCATTGTCGGGCCGCCAGACGGTTCTAAATGGGGAATGTCCACGGCGGCGCTGGCGGGAGACAGCTGCCCGGAGAGAGAGTGATGAATGCTGGCCGAAGGCATCCAAGTCGCGGCCGTTTGGGAGGTTGGTGGGTGTGGAAGCAGCATTTCGTCTTGCATGTTGTCGTCTGATGAGTTACTGTGATTGTCCGACCACGAAAGGTCCCCTTCGTCCGAAACCATCGAGAGAGAAGTAGAGTCCATGGCTCGTCACTAGCGAGACCATGCCAACACAAAATATTCAAAATCGACGAGAATCTGATGGCCAGTTGGTAAAGCGATTCGGGGATGATGCGGTGGCGACAGGATCTGGACAGCTGGTTTGTCGATCAGTCGTCGAGTCTGGTGAAAGCTATGGGATGTCGAATGGTGGTGAGGTCGAGCGGGGAGGAAAGGAAAGGACAGCAGTCAAATGATATCTCTCTCGGGGACGAGTGACCAATGTCGAGATGGATAAGACAGGGAAGCGGGCAAGAGTCTTCTGAAGATCAAGACCTTTGCGGTCCGCTCAAGAAGAAGGGAAAGGCTGATCACTGGAAAGCCGACGTGGAATGGAGGGGCTGAGAATGGGTGGAGAGATGATCGCTGGGTCTTATTTGGGGACCAGCTTGTCGTCGAGACGAAGTGGGAAAGGAAAGAGGGTCGTTGGACGACAGAATATGGGGCCAGCCGCTTCGAGGGGCGGGATATGCATATACATATCTGCAGATAGCTGCGCTGCTAGTGGGTGGGAAGTCGGGACAGCGACAGGGTCTCGAGGTGAATGAGGGAAGACATGCAGAGAATCGATGTTTCTCCCATACGCACTAAGGTCCCCTAGCACATTGGGTAGCTCCCCTCAGGCAAGGTGCGAGAATGAATGGGATGGGGGAACGGAGTATGGGAAACAAGACTGCCTGTACCCATACCATCACCCATACGATGGATGGCGAACATGGGCGAACACGGGCGGATAAGAACGGTGTGGGATGTGAGGTGAGCAGTGAGGTGGTGAGGTCTCACGTCGCACCGGCTTGTGCCAAGACGACAACCGGGGTCTTGATGCTCGCTGCCACTGGCTTCCTTGCTCCTCCACCCCCAGGGCAGTTCCCATCTGTGCCGTCAGTGCCGTAAGGAAGGCCATGCTAATTAAAGAGCCCAGTGGCCACCGTATAACGACGAGGGAGAGAAGACACGACCGAATCGCTGTCAGCTTGGCTCTCGTCGGCGGTGGATGACAAGTGGATTTTCGGGGCATCCTTGGCAGCATCTCTCTCCTCCACCTAGGCTGCAGTGGTGCAGTACTAGTTACACGGACCGGTGTTTTCTGTCGTCGAGAAGAAGAGAGGAGAGGACGCGTGAATGGGACGGCGTAAGACAGAGAGACAGAGAAACGGGGAGATTGTGACCGCGAGAGAGAATGGATGCCTTTCTCAGTCTCTCGCCAACGTCCTGTCTGCTCCCACATCTCGCCGGGCCCCTCCTGACTCCTCCATCAGCCCTGGTCGTTGCTAGCGCAATATGGCCGACCACCCTTGCCAGTGACAGCAAGGTACCCTCAAGTACTGCAAGTCGCTACCCGCACGGCACCACCCCACGATGGTCTCGAGAGCTGTGATTCGCCGTCGTAGATTTTCCTTTGGCATTGACCAGAAGCTGGCTTGGCCAGAAAGCTGGACTGTGCGCCGACTCCCTGAGTCCCTTGGGCTCAAGTCATGCGCGGCCATGTTGTATCGCGGAGACTCCACCTTGACTGCTTGAGACGAGGTGAGCAAGAAAAGTATTCTTATACGCTGACAAGAATGAAAAAGTGACAGACGACAGTCCGTTTCTCTACAGGCTGGTCAGTATGTATTGACGATGAAGAGACCTACTCTGCAGAGGGGACCGGCGACAGACAGTCGATCGCCAATTCGCACGACTCGTGAGTTGAAGAGGTCAAGCTAGCTAAGTGGCCGGTTTTTGAAATCACAATGGATCTATCCGCATTGCTCCTGCGCCTTGGACTGATTCCGCTGGCGGAACGAGGGCATGGCAATCGGCCGACAGCCGCGATGAAGATGAAGAAAACTGACCGGGACGATGCGAGACAAACCTGACAAGGAGGGTGCATCGTTGCCTGGGATCGCGTCGCGTTATGTCAAGAAGAGTGGGGAGAAGGAGAGGAACTCGGAGATGGACATCGGGGGGTCCAGCTGTGAAGACTCAAGAGTCAAGAGTCCAAGGTCACTCCGTAGGCACGTAGGTACTGTGTAAGAGGCTAAAAGTAGTAAGGGCACCTTCAACCTTGTCCTATGGTAAGCCGTATTGATCGTGCAGGAGTCAGGACCCAGCGAATGAGACGAGAGTCCAGGGAAGAGATGGGATCACGGTGGTTTGCTCCATTTCGGGCACAAAGCGAATTGAGCCAGCGTTGGTCGGTACTTGTCCATGGGCGTTGGGGCAGCGAAGCGTAGGAGAAGTCTCTGTACCATGATATCATGGTGGACTGTGAGACCGAAGGTCATGCTTCTGAGGCCTGTCACTGCATATGCAGGCGGCTAGATTTGGAAAGACGACGGGCTCTGGTCAGAGTCAACTGTCAAGGTGAAGAGACGGGGCGGAGTATCCGTAATCTATCGTCGTTTGGCGAATCAGCAAAGAGCTGGTGAGCGATGAGCGGCGTGACTGGCCGGTGCTGTGCGCGGAGCCATATGTGGGTGGGGGTGGGACCATGGAACCGTGGGTGAGTGGGATCCACCATCCATGGCATGGTGTGTCGGAGTCTCTGAGGATCATGATGGATAGCATGGAGTCTGGAGATCCAGTCAGGGTCACAGACGTTGAGCATCTGTGGTCCTGTCGGCCGAAATGCCGCTTCGTAAAGGAAGGCAAGGCGAGCCGCAAAGAGCTGGGAGATAGAGCGCCATCTCGACCGCCATTGCATGTACATCGATCCATCGCGTGGTCTTGAGCCATCCACGGCAAGGTTTAGGGGATAATGTAGTCAAGACAGGGCGTCGGAAGCGCCTCAGCTTCGCAGCTCAGCTCTGGTATAAAGCCTTCGTGCGGAGACGAGTCGCAGCCCAAAGAGAAGGGGAGACTCGTGAGCCATCAAAACTTGCGATGCAAGGCGATGTATCCGTATAGCAAAGTGAAGGAGAAGCATGGACTCACAGAGTTTCCATCCATATGTATGTATGGGAGTACGGCTGACTGAGATGTAGGAGCCGGGGGGGAGGGGGTTCGCCTTAGATTGAAACATGTCGGGAGTGTTGAGTTGTCCTGGTTGGTGCCATGGAGCCCCGTCACTGCAAGCAAGCTGCGATGCAGATGCGGCGCGCTGGGCCGGGCTGCGTGGGAGGCGGGCACTGACTTGGAAGCTGGGGCTTCAACATGGTTAGGCTGTTGCTGCTTTGATGCTGTCGTCTTTGGTTTGAGTCTTTGGTGTTCGTCGTCACGTCGTCGCCGTCGTCGTCGTCTTGAATGTGGCTGCTCGTCGGCAACGAGACTGGGGTTCAGGTTCAGGATATGGGTACCTTATGGCGTAGCCAGGGTGGATTTGCTGCGTATTGTCTTGGGTATATTCGTAAGGATCGAGTGGTGACAGCAACAGAGGTATGCTAGGTATTGCTCAGCAGTCTTGGACTCTTGGCCGGCGTCTCGCCTAGTTGGTGGTTTATTGCCGGCGGAAAAGGATGGAGAAGGTCGGCACCTCGTCGAATGACTGCGGGCCGCCAGGGTTCGGAGGCACGGAGGCACGGGGGCAGGCCGCACGGAGGCTCGTATGTATCCTTAGTACGGAGTAGGGATACTTCGTCGAGGGTGAGAGCCTGGACATTGGAACAGCGGGAGGATGTCGACATATGGGTGGAAAGTCGACTCCATGTTTAATTAGGGCGATGATCTAGCGCGATGTTAGCCTGTTACTTTTACTGTTAGTGGCTCCCCAGGTGCGTTCAAACTTCAAAATCCAATCTTGCAGGGCCTGGCATGCAGTGGGCACGACCCTGACTGTTGATGGGGGGGCCTTGGAGGCTGGAGCACCAATCCATGCGACTCTCAGAGACTCATCGTCTGCGGGTGCGAAGTAGTGTAGGTAGTGCCCGTGGGGTGCCGAGGAGGAGTAGGGGATTGCAGCCTGGTTTGGAGTTGATTCTACGGAATAAAATAAATGGAAGTTGGAAAACAGTTGCAATGTTCACAGCCGCAATTCCTCGGGCAATTACAAAGACAAGCAAATGTCAGCCTGAGGGTTCCTTGTGTTCCATTCTCTTCCATTCAGGAGGTGAGGTCAACCCGGACTTGCCCATTCGTACCCTACCTTACACACCTCAGGACTAATGGAAGGTGCCTTGTGAGAGTGGAAGAAAAGGCAGGCACGATATCTGCAGGTGGTGCACTGAAGTGCAAGGCACCTTGCTCTACCGTGCACCCGTACCTTCCACATGGCACTGAGGACTGAGGACTGAGGTCAACCGAAGGTAAGGAAGGTAAGAGGACCCTGGCATTTCGTGCGTCCCTTCCTCTTCCCGCCTGCCATCCTGCCACTATTAGGGTACCTTACTGAGGTGATCACCTGGTCCTCCCCATTGACCCACCTCAGACATAGCTGTGCCATCCCGTCCGGGTTCCCATTTGAATCCGGATCTCTCCTTCCTCCAAGCTCAGCCTGTCCAGTGTCCGCACCTACCCTACCTTGATCTAGCCATCCGTAAACGTGCCGTTCTTCACATCTGTACAGAGAGGAAAGAGGTGATACGGACCTGGTACGAGCACTCGTGGAAAGTAGGAAAACCCCTGCGAGCTTGCAAAGTGGCATTATGTAAGGCAGTTTTGATCCATCCTCGTGACCCTTCCCTGGACCTCTTGGCCTTTTCCAACAACAAAGTATCCGTTCCTTATGACGGGAATACACGGTACCTTATGTGGATCTGCCTCTCCGGAGAAAACTCCGCGTTTTGTGCTAGACACTCCGAGCTCTCATGACCGGACGGGAAGACGACATTACGGACCTGTTGGCCAGCCCCATCCATCGGCGGTTGACCGAGACTCGGTGCAACAGTCTACGAAGACCCAGTACGAATACCTTACCTACCTACAGAGACTTTGTGTCTACCTTGAACCGAGTCTGCACACAATCGAGGTCACAACACGGCATTCACTGGGATATATGTGCCAAGACTCGTCAAACTTCCCACACGATGCTACCAACGTCAAATGCGCCGAGATACCCATCTCAAACTCAAACAGAGAGACCGCATGGGTGTCGCTTCTCTAAACTTTGAGCTTCTCTCGTGTCCCGTCGGCCACGGCCCTGATGCGAATGGAGTGTTAGCGACCATCTGCCGGTGCAACGCGAGCCTACCCCCACGTCCGGCACATGGGACATGGGACTTGGGGGCCCCCAAACCCTTTTTCTCTCGTATTGGGAATGATCGGACAAGTCGGAATCCCATACGACTACTCTGGAGTCTGGACCGATGATCTTTACAGAGTGCGGATACACATACCTATCCGTACTTCGGAGTATTAGACTTGACTTTGCTCTGTCGTTCGCTTTATCTGGAAAGGTGCTCGCCATCCTGGGCGTGCTCACACAGCAAAGTGCGAGGCATCCGAATCGATAACCTAGGTCTTGTCTGTCCGTATTCTTACACTACCGCAGTCTGGTCTACTCTAGAGTCCATGGTGTCTCTGGCGATAGAAGGCAATATTATTCAACCACTGCATCACTCCGACGACCCCGTTCAGGAGGGCCGCGACATTTCAAGCCGACCATGTTCATGCCCTGGCTGTCTCGCATCCGCTATCGATCAACTAAATATCCGTGCCAGGGTAAGGCAGCACAAGGTTCGAGGCCATTGGTGCATCTCAATCCTACCCACCTACCCTGTTTGACGACTCAGGCTTTGTGGTTGCACCTCATCGCAATGCATCCCTTCGCTCTATTCCTCGGGGCTTGCGTCGGAAAAACATCTAACAAAGTTGGCTGCTTTGCGATGCCATGGCCCTTGGCCATTGAGAGGGCCACGGGGCTCAAAAGAAAAAGGCAGCATCACCTACCATCGCCTCCGGAAGAGCGGACTGGAGAAACGCCCCGCCTATCGTCGCAACTGAAATCAAAACCCTGACAACTTTCTTGCACGCGTCTTAAGTCGCGACACCACTCTAAGCAACCAGACGAATCCAGTAATCCTGACATCGTGGACGAGACGAGTGGCTAAGACATGCGTACGAATACAGTACCTTTGCACTTACACGCAGTCTTAGCTCCGGCTAAACTCGCTCGAGCCTCGAGGAGGGCAACTTGGTCTTTCTCCCGGCCGATCATACTGGGTAATCTGATAGAGGCATGTCTCGGATTGCCTAACTCGGTACTCCAGAGCCATGGGGACCCTGGTTGGCCGAGACTGACCCAGACGACCACCAGGCCAACCCAGTCAACAGTCTGTCGTCTCGCCACTGGCGCGGCCCATTTCCTTTCCGAGCAAGGCTCTCATAGGATGCTCGCCATGATACTGGACCTAGTTACGCTTCGACCCTTTGCTGCTCAACCAACCCCAGTTTATCGTCACATATCACATACATGCAAGTACGACAACCTCCGTGTCGTAAGGACGAAACCAAGTCAGCCTAACGGCATCAACGGCGCTGGTCCTGGGCAGAGGGCAGCCGATCACTATCCGAACATCGCCGAGTTACTTCATCACTTGAACGTTGGGAGCCTCTGCTACACCCGACCCCGTTTAACTTGAGACGACAATAGAGGAGCAAATAAAGCGACGACGACAAAGGCGGAGAAGGGTGCCGCCCGAGCGCGAGGCTTGGCCCGTTGTCGGATCTGGCTACCTCCCGTCGCCTTTTGACTTTCGAGACGGTGCGTGCCGTCGACGGCTGGTCTCCACCGACATTGGATCATCATCAGTGCGCAATCGATGCCAATCGATGCCAATCGAGCTTCTATACCCGCTTGTCCACCACCACCCTCGAGTCACCACCTTACTGTGTCAGTGTGGATGGACACATGTATCCGTACGCTGGGTATCGAGTATGGATCATGGCTACTGGTTGTTCTATGAATCTCGATACTGTGATCGTCCCCCTCTCCGGTGGTACCTGAGCAACGGTACGGATAATTCAAGGCCTTCCTGCAGGGCCTATGTGGGCGCAGATGATGCGGCGACTCGGCGAGGGGCTATTTATTTTGCAGCTAATCCACCCACATAGTTACCTACTTGGCTGTCATCTTGTGAGGCCTACTTCGTGCGAATACGCAAGTTTCTTCGTGTCTCCACGCTCTTCGCTTAGCCTCTTTTATCCCACTTCATGAGACCCGTCGGCCGACGTACAGGCTGCGAAAATGGATGCACAAGCCTCAAGGACGACTGCTCTCTAAGAATCGGCTCTCATTCCTACCATGGCCAGGCTCAGGCGAAGAAATCACAACTCGACTTCTCATACTCTTCGACGGGGCCCTACTCTTACTTACGTCGACCCTAGATCCATGGCCAACAGCACCAATTCCTTGCCCATGCCTGTCGAAATGGGGGGGAGAGAAGTCGATCTAGCTAAAATTGTCAGTAGCGGGGGAAAAGGAGCAGCGAAAAAGATACATGGTAATACTTTCCACCACACCCTCCGAGAGCCAGCCGCAACCCTCCACTCATTGGTGCGCATTCGACTCGTTTTGCGATTCACCTTCCTTGCCCTTGGCGGCTGTGGTTATGGGACTAAGGCTGTGGGGTGGCTTTTTACTTCTGTGTCCTTAATGCCCGGCAGGCATCTTGCTCTGGTTCGTCTGCTGGCCCTTCGTGTCTCCATCCCCAACCGAAAGGGGTCCTCGTTAGAGAGCAACCTGAGACTATCCATGCCGCTGCAGAGAGATGTCCGCTGCAGACTCGGGGATTTTCGCAAGGGGGGCCAACAAGTGGATGAATCATCAGAGACAGAGAGAGTCTTTGATGATTGCCTCACTTGCTCCCGCCGAGCTCCAGCCTGTTGCTAAGTCAAGCCCGAAGCGATTGTCAGATCATTCGATCAGACGCATCACCTCTGGATGTCAACTTAACACGATACAGCGCAGGCTGATGCCGGCAGCGGTAACGGGATCAAGTCAACAAGTTGCGGGAGATTGCCCACGGCCCCACGCTTGAAGCGTTTTGCGGCCAACAAGCTAGATGTCTGCGTGCCAGCATGTCCATGTCTCCGGAGTCCTCATGCACCGCGTCAGCTATGCTGTTGTGCTGCTCGTCATCAACCCTCTTCCGCGCATTCAGTGTTCATACGGATACCTCTTACGGATACAGATGGCTTGCGTGCTTGCGCAGTGGTTCGTTTTACCCACAAGACTGGGGGCGATGCGCTTGCGGGAGCGAAAGGGATCTCAAGACGGCCAGTGCCTCAAAGTTCGGATGCGACATCACACCGCCAGATCGCGCGCACCACGTTCCTGGGCAAGCGTTCCGTCGGGGAGACAGATGCCAATCTAGCGGCAAGACCGTCCGATCTATCTTGTTAGGGCTCGCGAGCTGTCGTCAAGACCGAGATTGAAACCAACCTCGAGCCAGGCCCAAACGCACAGAGTAGCAAACTTCTTTTGGTGCGAACCGGCCTTCTTCTCCAGCTGGCGCTGGATGACATCCTAGGGGCAGCAAAACCACACATTCGAATCCTGGCGGTCTAGACAAGGCTCCAGCTCTCGCATGATCATCGCCGAGTAAACAGCCAATCCCGGACAATGGAATCTTGTTTCTTCCTACTTCCTACTTCCCACTCTTCCAGCATCCAGACCGCGCCAGAGGCGATGCCAGAGGCGATTCGCAGTCGCAAGGCGCAAGACGACAGGGATAGCTTTGAAGTCAGCTGGCCCCCCATAGAATGTAATCGATTGCCTGCTGGCCAACCACCTCCATCAACGCTCGACTGCTCGCATTCCAGTGTTCGACCTACATCGCACAGCCTTGTTAGATCGACAACTAGCGCACTTTTCTCGGACATAAAGAAACAGACACAGGGCTCATTGTTGTCCAGGACTGAAAGGTGTTTCTGACGGCCGTCATCTTTTACAGGACTGACCCAGCGGGAAAAGGCGGTGTCCAACGTCCAAGCAGCCTAGACCCGGGAACCCAAACACGTCGACGCATTGTAGGGAACATGCCAATTCCAGCCCTTTGGGGAAGGGGAGTTCCTTGCATCTGACAGCGCCTCAACCACGTCTACCCCGCCAAAGCTCACCAACCTGTCATAACATGAACGTGCAACTACGCTCCGGACCACCTTACTGTGTGCCGCAACACGGTCTTCGGCCATTGTTTTGTCATTGAAACAATCAGAAAAGTACGGTGAGGGCCTCATATTTGTTTCTCCAGAGTTCCACCTTTGGGCAGAGACAGGCAAGCCCGAGCACGCCTCTTCGCCACTAACCTCGTCTAGGTCAGATCTAGCTCGTTCACGAGGGTGGTGTCTACGCAAACTAGTCATCCGTAAGTTCCCAGGTGCCTAAATTCGGTTCGGAACCTGGCCTCACCGCATCGTTGCCCGTCATCATTACCAGTCTATTTGTCTTTAGTGACATGCAGAAACATTCTTCGAGAGAAGTGGCTGGAAGTCCTCGTTTCCGTAGTGGATTTCTGCCCAGATATCTCGCCTCGCCCCGTCTGAATCTCGCAGCAAACGGAGATCTCCCGCAGTCTACAGGATCTAATCGGAATGACCGACATCTCGGTATCCACCAGCTTCTCGCCTCTCAAATCTTTGATCGACTGACCTCACAGGACGACGAACGATGCCCGATATCAATGTGTTAGATGCAACCGCCTAGTACCACCCCTGCAGATGAACCAGTTCTTCAGCGCGCCATTCCAGGCGTTCCATTCATCATGTCACTTTCCACTAGCAATGTATCTCCCATTAGCGGGACGAAACTAGTTAACGGATCACGGACGATCAAGCAGCGACGGAGAGCCAGAGACACAATCCAGTGGCTTTGATAGACAACCACACGACCAAGCAGCTGCCAGCCCATGATCAAGCGCTCCCTCCCCCTTCAGCTTCCCAGTTTCCAAGGCTGCCAGCTAGTCCGAGGTCCGACATGTGAGACCCAGAGAACAGAGGATATCTTGGTTATCTTTGCCTAAATATAGAGGTGTGCTCAAGTATGTGGGTGTCGCTTGCTCTTCGTCGTAATTCAGGGGGGCGGTGCAGGACCAGTGTCTTTTCAACGAGTGCTTTGAGACACATGGTTCAATCAGAGTTCAGTGGTTCGAGCTGAAGCAGTTCATTTTTGGCGCCTGATACGCGGTTCGGATGACTCGACAAGCTCTCTAAATTTTGTTTCCCTGTTGGGAGAGGCGAAATGTGGTGATTTGATATCATCCATGAATCTCGTTCTCGTGTAAGACCGATCCCCGTAACGTTACGTTGCAGGCGCGAAAAACTCGAGACAGTAATCTGAAAGGCTGTCTTTGCTCGGATCTTGCCAAGTGTGGGTTTTGGATGCACAGACAAAAGCATCCAGAGTGCGGGCTCGGCGTGTCATTTTGCTTTTCGAGAAAGGAGTAGCGAGAAGCTTGATTGTCTCGACTTTTTTGAATTTGTGGTGTTTCGAGACAAGGCCTCAACAAATTCCGATTTCTCAACCTATGAATTAACTCTTGCTACTGTTCATTTGCAAGAAGAAAAAACATGTGCCTCATGTTTGGATACCAAGATCATCTGCCGTCTTTGTTGGCCCGAGTTAGGGAGTGAGAGAGTTCAATAGAGCTAGGAGTGATTGATATGTCGCTTCCACTACATGACGCACAGCCAATGGCCCGAGAGTAGTCGTGTAGCACTATATTATTCTGTGTTCATGACTCCCGTGCTATGTCGTCTATCTATTAACTGCTAGATGGCGTCATTGCATCCGTCTCCAGTCTTTCTCTAATTTTACTCCATAACGGAATTATCCATAGGTGGATAGAAGGGAAATGGAGTCGAGTTGATCTGTGATTCTGCATGACCTATCATTAAATCACGTTTATATAGATTGAAGCCAACTAGAAATTGATGGGGTACTCGGCGTAAGACCAAAGGCTTGTCTGGTACCTTAGGATTTGTGTGAACTGTACTGCATAGCTGATGGTCCGGAAGGACGAATTGGGATAATCGAAAAGTTGCATGGGTTACATGGCGCATCCAATCCTTGAATACAGGTAGACTGGCTTGATATAATCGGCTTATTGTATTTCCTTGCAATTTAGACGCCAAATTCTTGGGTAATGTTATTGCAATTTTGTTCATACAAAGAAATCTCCGGGGTAATTAAAGTGTTGAAGACCTCGGCGTCTATTGTTGTCCTTTGTACAGAGGATTTTCAACGGCACAATTGATAGACTATATATAGTCTGACGTCTTGCTGCGTTTTCAAATCTGATATTGTCAACCTTGATACATTTTGCATTCCGCAAGTCCGTCTTCGACATCTCGTTGTTTGTAAGTTCATGATACCAAGCCATATACTAATCATCAAATTGATAGGATCTACTGTTGAAAATTTCCCTGAAAAACCTGTGGCATCTTCTAGTCAGGCATGGACGTATCGGTTTTTTTTTGGTGTTTCTTTGGATCACGGCACGAAAAGCTTCAACACATTCTCTGATGAATCAAAGGAGCGAGAAACACGAATGTATGCGAGCTAGATAAGCCTGAGCTTCAATGTTCTGAAGATGTATACAAGGGATGATGATCAATTCAAGGTAAAGAGAGATCAGAAGTTTCTTGCAAAGATATGCCTTCCGTCGTACAGTCTGGGTAAGATACTCTAGGTTGTGACTGCACGAGTCGCTTTGATTGCGTATCTGTTCAGAGTCCCGGAGGAGCGAGTTGATTTAGGATTTTCGGGACAGACACACAAAACTCCGTCTTCTCATGATACTGGATCAAGGCGAATTTTCCTCCTAAAAATGAAACTGATCATCAGTCGATAGACTCCGCAAAAAGCTCCAGCCTGCCTCGAGTAGGAGTGCATGGTATTCAGATACAGACATATAATATTGGCACCATGACATTGTAATTTTTGAGGCACGGCAACATGCAAGTTGAAAGAGACCGAGGTTGGAACTTACGGATTAAGTAGTTTGACCATGTGAGATTACTCTAGCCTGAAGATAAGCTTGCGTCTGTATGCTGCATGGGGCTTTTAGCAATGGCCACACTATGAGACTGAAAACGGACCGACCGCAGCTATGTCAAATACTCGATCCATAATGGAGAAAAATCGTGCAATGAGTCTGAGGGCAGTACTGATCCCTATAAGGGGTTCGAGCCGCCAATTGTATCTTCTCGTTGAGACCCAATGAGCCTGTGGTCATCGAGTCATAGTCGTCGATCGTTGATATGTCCCAGGGGCAATGTCACATGTGCAGCATCGTGTGAGGCGCAAACTTGATGCATACCACGAGAGCATTGACCGCTTCTTTTTATATCATTCAAGAACCGCAGTTCCCAATTTTGCGACTGCCCTCCCTGAGCTACAGATTCATGCCAGATTCACCTTCGTCATTCCTTTCATCCACAAAAATAAAGTGTACATCAAAGCTTAAGCAAACTCGGCCTCATCAATGTTCCTCAAAAAGATGGTGTACCACTTGACGAGGTTAACGTGGCCCAAGACGCTCGTCTTCTCATCGACGGTGTGAACACCCGCCCACTCGTCGCTCTCGGGATCATATCCGGGAAGGAAGCGGAAGATATGCTGGGTGAGGTCCCAGTAGTACCGGGTATCCGTGTTACCGGTCATAATACCCGGCGACACAACAATCTCCTCGCCGTACAAGGCGCGCGTGGTACCCGACAGGATTCCATACGGCGTCACGCCCTCCACTGACGTCGGCGTCACGGGTGCGGGCTCGAGCACCTTATCGTTGCCCTTGAGCGTGATGCTCGACGGCGTCTCGGCCTCGTCGTCAAAGGCGTGGAGGGTGAGGTTATACTTCTCGGCGACGGGGCGCACGATGGCGGCGAGCTTCTCCTGCACGCTGGCCGTCTTGTCGCCGACGTTGACGCGGTGGTTGACGACGGCCCGGACGCGCTCCGGTAGCGCGTTGATCTTGACGCCGCCTTCGATGATGTCGGTCGCCACGGAGGTGGTGAAGAGGTACTTTACCTGCGGGCCCGCTTTGGCGGCCTCCTTGGCCAGGCGGTCCGTCTTCTTCTTGCACATCTGCTTGCTGGTGTCGGCGGGGAGGAGTCTGCGCAGGTTGTCGGGGAACTCTGGCGCGTACGAGGCGCCACACTGGAGCTTCTCGAGGTACGGGTTACCGGAGATGAGCTCGGGCTTGTACAGGTTCGCCTCGATGTGCGTGATGAGTTCCGAGAGGATGCCGATGCCGGTGTGCTCGGGCGGGATGGAGCTGTGGCCGCCGGGCGTGCGCACAATGACCTCGACGTCGATGTAGCCCTTCTCGGCCGTGCCGGGGATGGCAAACGTCTGGCCCCACTGGGTGTCGAAACCGGATCCTTCATCGACGATGATGGCGGCGCCGTCCTTGCCGTAGCGCTCCAGCAGGAACGGCGCAAGGTGTCCCGCGCCGCGCTCGCCGGAAACCTCCTCGTCGAAGCCAAAGGACAGGATGACGGTGCGCTTGGGGGCGAAGCCGGCGTCGATGAGCAGCTCGACGGACTCGAGGATGCCGATGAGAGAGTTCTTGCAGTCCATGGCGCCGCGGCCCCAGACGTAGGTTCCGTCGTAGGCGCCGCTCCAGGGCGGGTGCGTCCAGCTGTCGATGGTAGTGGGCGCCACGGGGACGGTGTCCTGGTGGGCCATGAGGACGGTGGGCTTGAGGCTGTCATCGGAGCCCTGCCATGTGTAGAGCAGGCCGTGGGTGTTTACGCGCTCGAGACGGAGGGTTTCGTGGACCTTGGGAAAGGTTTTTGCGAGGTAGGCGGAGAAGGGGAGGAGCTTGTCCCAGCGGTCATCGGCGCCGACGGGGCCGTAGTTGTCAAAGGATTCAGTGGGGATCTGGACGGCACCCGAGAGGCGGGCAACGGTCTCGTTGCGGAACTTGGGGCTGTCGAGGTATGAGTCCAGATTGGTGAGGCCAGATGAGTTCTGGGTCGGGAAGAGGGGGTCGACCTGGTGGCAGGCGTTGGCGGCGGGGGAAGCGTTGCGGTGGTGGCCGTGGCCGAGGAACGGGATGGCCGAGGCGGACGGCTTGTGAAGGTAGGCAAGGAGAAGGGCGGCGGGAATGAGGGACCACCACGCGGTCCGGCGGCGACGTGGTTCCGGAGCCGTGAGCTCGGGCGCCGGGTGCGCGAAGGGGAGTTTTTCGGACATGGCGATTGTCAACGGCAATACAAGCACTCAATTGAGACAATACTATGCAATGTGTTGATTCTCTTTGCTGCTCGCCTGTATACGGAGCTTTGGGGGCGGTGGAAGGATGTGAGTGAGTGAGGGTTGAGAGTGAAGGTGAGAGTGAGGTTGAGAATGGAGAGGTGAAGTCATGGAAGACGACGCGACGGGGTTCATCGGTGGTGTGCTACCCCATGAGTATGACAAATGAGACGAATGAGGGCATGCACCGCGTGTCAATCAACGGTCCCCCTCCGATTCCCCGCCGTTTCATCCGAACTGCCAACTCAAAAAGCACCTCGAAAGCTCCGATCCTTCGGTGCCGTTATCGCAACTGGCGATGGACGGCATGATGGTTAAGGTACGGATAGCTTCCATTGATAACGATATCGGGATACCGGCCCAACTATCTCCAAGTTATTGAATCTTCAACTCCTCATGCGGGGCTCCAAAAACGTTGTGCAGCTTCCGGATTGGGACCTCATCGGCTTCAATCGGCTGGCTTCGCACCACCCGGCCGGGATGTTGCTGACCGGGCAGTGGGATCGCCTTCCTTGCAGCTTCTCCTCGGCTATTCGATAGAGCTGAAGGTCGAGCTCTGCTCGGCTCTTTGGCTAAATTCAGGATAGCTTCGATTCGATGCGACCCCCTGTATCGGAGCTTTATCATCAGAATTGGGATGTTAAGTGGGACTCTATCATTGAGTTGAACATCACCAAACTGGCGGGTACGGATATAGCAACGGCATCACCTAGCCGAAGGTGATATTCTCCAGCAGATCGACCGTGAAGGGACGTAAAGACTGGTGGTATCTAAACTATGCAACGCGCTCATTTCTCCTTCTTTAGCCCCTCCATTCGCGTCCGCGCTGCTCTCAATAGAGCCCACGCAACCAGCCGATACACAATCACACACCCAGCCAGTGCTGCAATGTTGACGTTCGGGTCCACGTTGAACTTGTACAAGTCGAGCACATCCTCGCCCGTTTCCACAGGACACCTTCCATCTGGCAGCCTCTGCCCCTCCTCGCACGTGAACGTCACCGACCTCAGGCTATACGGCGCCAGAGCCCGCGTACCGTATCTGATGGGCGAGAGGTAATTGAAGATCTTGAACAACTGTGGCATATCAATGGAGAGAACACCCGCCATCGTGTTGGCAACAGATAGTATCACCGACGTCAGGTTCACGGCGAACCCCGTGTGGTTAAAGAGCGTGTTGAACATGATGCCCACCGACTCGCCGCACGAGACGATGCCAAAGCACGAAAACACGCACACAAAATACATGGTCACCGTCCGCGGGAACCCCACCGCCAAATCCGCGAGCACGCCAAAGATGAGGCAGCTGATAATCTCAAAGGGGAACTCGAGCACAGAGTACGCCGCCAGGAACGCCTCGACGCTGTACACGCCGTCGTCGTCCTCGCGGTAAAACACGTCGCGCTCGGCAGGGTAGACGGCGACGTTTTGCAGCATGCCCACAAAGTAAAAGGCGCCAATCTCCTGCACGAATCCCATGCGGTTCTGCACAGAGAAGTAGTCGTTCTTGAGTGGCGAGAAGAAGAGCGCGAGAACGATGCCCAGACCCACGACCTGCATGATGCGCGCGAGGAGGAGCGGCGGTTGGCGGCGGAAGTTGATGAGGCCGCGGTGGACGAGGAGTGGGAAGGCTACGAAGAAGGAGGCGCGTTTGCGGACGAGAGCGCCCAGCTCGGCTGGGGTTGCGAGGCTTGCCTTGTTGAAGGCCGAAGATTTTCGAGTTTGTCCCACGTTGGCCCGCCCAATTGAGGAGCGGGTGATTGCTCCATGTTCCTGGCCCTCGTCGATGCAAGGCACCTCTCCCGTCGTCTTGACTGCAGGCATCTTGACATGTCTCTCCCATGCGCCGATCAGAGCCTCGACCTTTTCTCTGCTCTCGGCCTCCCTTGTCTCTTGTTGTAAATTGATCGTGACGAGATCCAGCGCAAAGTCGGCCGGGTTGGTGTGAGGAGGACAGCTGAACCCCTGACGCTCAAAATAGCCCAGCATCTCCGTCGCCGATCCTGCATACGCGGGTGATCCTCCCCGGGCAAGCAGCAAGACGTTTCCAAAGTGCCTGAACAAGTCGGATCGCGCCTGGTGGATCGTCAAGATCAGGGTTCGGCCCTCGTTGGCGAGACCTTGCAGAACCTCCATGATGGAGCTGGCTGTGAAGGCGTCCAGCCCGCTTGTCGGCTCGTCCAGTAACAACACGAGCGGGTCGCTGAGTAGCTGTACAGCGATGGTGACTCGTCGCTTTTCGCCTCCTGAGATGCCCTTGACGAGTTCGTTGCCAACGAGGTTATCCGCGCAGTCCTTGAGACCCATCTTTAGCAAGACCTCCTCTGCGCGCTTGGATTTCTCGTCGCTGCTCATGTGGGCTGGTAGGCGTAGGCCCGCAGAGAATCGGAGCGTCTCTCGTACCGTGAGAGATGGCAGGAGGGCGTCGTCGTCCTGACATACGTACGAACACACCGAGCGGATGACCGAGTTGGACGGTAGTGCGTTATTAAAGGTGAGCTTTCCCGACAGCCTATAGCGTGTGCTGAGACTGCTGGGAAGCCGCAAGGACATGGCATTGAGAAGAGACGTCTTGCCACTTCCCGAGGGGCCCATGATGACGTTCAACTTCCCTGCTTCGAACGTCGTGCTGACGGGATTCAGGATCGTCTTGGTTGGTAGCTTCTTGCCCGAAGCCGCTCTCTTGTCCAAAGCTAAAGCAAAGTCCTCCAGCCCTACGTCGATGGTGCGAATTTCGGAGATGGAATGGGTCTTCATCTTCTCCTTGCCGGCCGATAAATCGGTATCTGAGACTCTCGCACGAGCAATAGTCATTTCTTGCTTGATGTACTGGAGTCCGATGGCGGATAAGATGCAGAACAAGATGATGAATGCAACTAGTACAACAATCGGCCTCCATATCCAGTTGCGCGGAAACCCAAGAGAGTCCATGATGAACCGGCCCGTATACTGCACACATTCTGGATTCGAGGCTCCGCCGTCAAATGGACAGTCGTAAAAGGAGCCTTCAAACTCGTTACCGCAATAGGCGCCAAAGGAATAGAACTGGGCAACATTAGCATGGCCATGCCGGTCGCTATTGTGTCCAAACTTACCGAGTATGTGATCCACTTCAGCCACCGCACATACACTGGGATCGAGTTTGCTTGAATGAACATGCCGCAAGCCATGCTCTGTAGAGTAAACACCATGTTGGCAATCAGACTCGCGCCAGGGAAGTTTCTCGACGCCGTGACACATGTGATTGCGCAAGTCACAGCAATGTAGTGGTTCAGCACCGTGACGGCGAAGAAGATGAAGAACTGGCTGGCATCTCGTTCAAAGCCGCCCATGAAGTAGAAGATGACGGAGAACAGAAACGGGACGGGCAGATCTTCGGTAAACAGCCGCGCCAAGCGGCGAGAGAACAGAAACGGGATCGCATCAACGCATGATTCGCTATGCTCTCGGTCGTAAGTTGGGATGTCGACGGTGAGTCGGTAAACCTCAAACATGAGTGTTAGGTATCCTTGGAGGCCTGCCGCAGTGTAGAGCGCGCCTTGGCGGGACCGAATACCCGAGAGGTCTCTGGGTAGGTTGTAGAAGATGTACCCCGTTACGAGGGCCATGAGAATCGCTTCCGTCGTCGATGCCAGCATTCCCATTGGGTCACGGTACGTGACCTTGAATGTTCTGCTGGTCAAGACTCGTAGTTGTCTTATATAAGAGGCGTGTTTGCTGGTTTTGGAGGTGGACCCTTTCCCATTTGACGTGCTCTCAATTGCCTTGCCTGTTGGCGCAAATATCGTTCTGCTTTCGTGAATCCATGCTTGCTTCAGTTGAGTGACCCGTTCCGTTGTCTCCTGCTCCAGTTCGGGCGTGCGATTGTCGATGGCAGCGATGTCGATGACGAATTCGGCAGGGTTCACAAAGGGGGGCAGCTTAAACCCTTGGCCCTCGAAAAAGGGCACGCAATTTTTTGCAGGGCCCGAGAAGACTGGACTCCCCTTTGTGAGGATGATGAGGTTGTCGAAGAGATCCCAGATTTCCGACCGAGGTTGATGGATGGTGGTGATAATGTTTCGCCCCTTGGTGGCTAGCTTCTTGAGCGTGCGCATCAGTTGAAAAGCACTCGTCGCATCCAAGCCAGTCGTTGGCTCATCGAGAAAGAGAACCGACGGATTGGCCAGCAATTGAACGCCGATGCTGACTCTCCGCTTCTCGCCTCCAGAGCATCCCCGGTGCTGTCTATCTCCTATCCTCGTGTTGGAACATTCCTTAAGACCAAGTTCGAGAATGACTTCCTCCACGATGCGAGCTCGTTCTTCGGCAGTCGTCGGAGGCGGCAACCTCAAATCGGCGGAGTACTGCAGCGTCTCGCGCACAGTCAGTGAGGGCAGGAGAATGTCCTGCTGCATGACATAAGCGTGTCGCGCATTGTGAATGCCCTCATTGCCGTTGAAGGTGATGCGGCCACTTTGGGCGAGTCGCGCACTGATCATGCGTTCCGATAGCGTATTCAGTAGCGTAGTCTTGCCAGAACCGCTACCGCCGATGATGGCTGTCAGCGTGCCCGATTGCAGGGAAGCGTTAACGTGGTAAATCAGATTTTTGGAGCTTGGTTCAGGGTTGAATTTTGACTTTGCCAGCTCGGGGTAGGTTGCAGGGTCCCACCACGAGGGCGAGGTATCGACGGTGACAGCTAAATCGCGAATCTGGACATTGACTGCTTCGACGTCGTCGAGGGAGATATGGCCAGCGCCAGAGAGGGAGAGGCGCGTCGCATCGGGTTGCTCCGGGACATCTGGAGGAGCTGATTTCTCGATGGAGCTTTGGTGGTCGAACTTGTCCATCTCGAGGACGACTGGTCGGTCGTCGTTGGATGCCGGGTTTGATGTCGAAGACATGGAGGGCGATTCAGCCGCGATGAGTAAGACGATATGTCAGATACGGCCACCGCGAGCGCATGCCGGTTGAGGCTGGCTGCGAAGGCGGGAAACCGCTTCGGACAAGATTTGTGTCACCGCGACAAGCTGATGGTAGTAGATCTTTTGGTTGCTCAGTGCGCGGGTTGCAACAGCGGCCTTGCTAGAGTCTCACTCTTGCAGATGTGACCAAATCGAGAGCGGTGAACCGTGCAGAGACGTTCTCAACGTCTTTCCTCCCAAGGATCGATGGGGCTGGTGTTAGAGGGACTAACTAGAGTGCCTGGCGGGATCTAGAACACAAGCTGTGAGGCGTAGAGAGAAACGGCCTCGGGTGGGAAGTCGAACGAGACAAAAGCCAAAGGAAGAAGAAACGCCATGAGATGGGCGAGAATGACAGACGCCACGAAGGAAAAGGCAGAGGATGACATGGACTTTTTCTTGGACAAGCGGTTCAGTGGACGTTGGGTCAAGTGCATGGCATCCGCATGAGTGGCATGCAACCTCAAGCCGAGGGTCCCAAGGATCGCGCGTGCAGCACACGACACCCATGCCGCCGCCCCTTGGGAGCTTGAGCGTTCCCTCTTTGACATTCTGGCTAAGCGACCTTGGCCGGCGAAGCGAGGGCGGATACTCGTGCAAGCGAGCCCAGGATGTGTTACTGCAGCTGCACGTTTTTCACTAAACGATCCCCCACAACCCTTCCACATCCCCCATCCCCCGCCTCTCCTCAAAAGGTGAGACTGAGAGTTCAAGTTTGTATCCATATGAATGGTTTGTATCCGTACCAAGTACGAAAACAGAATTTTGTACTCTTCTTGTTTCGTTTTCACGCTTTGAGACTTGTAAACTTGAATATATGTTCGTCGACTTCTGATGAGGTTTGGTCGCTCTGATGCAAGGGCACGCACGTCCTTGACCAAGGTACCTCGAGGACGTCAAATTAAACGAGGCCAATTCTGACTCTAATGCCTTCCATAATGATGTCCATACTTGCTTGCTCCGGTTTGTGAGATTGGTGATTGCCATTGAGGCTTCCAAGCAGCTTATTGCAGGTGCTTCGTATTGACTTGCCAATCAACCAGATGCGCCAAGTGGGCGTAGGAACGAGCAGCAGGACCTGTCGAACTGGAGAAAAGATTTGATCATTGGTTGGTAGTATTCGTACTTTGGCGTTTAGCGACATTTGATGGTGGAAGCGGAAAGCAATGGCGCTAGCATGGGTGAAGGGCGAGGCGAGTAAGGGTATCCGTACCGATGGAACCAATACCGATGCACTTCGCACGTAGAGTCGTACCAGGCATCCTCTCGCCCTCTGTGCCTCTTCACTCCTCAGCTCCCAGTCTCACAGTCTCACATAATCTCGATCCCTGTTGTTGATGCTTACGCTCTGCATCCAGGTAACTCAAACGGTGTTGGCAGTAGCCTGCTTGGACGATATCAAATCCAGAGAAGCGAGAAAATCGCGGCTGAATCATTGGCCTTCGACATAGGACTACTCTTGTAGACTTTCTCGGCTTGAGGGATTGTCATCTCGAAGTAAGTCCAGTGTCAATCCGGAGACATGGGGTTTATCACACAGTCCAAGGGGACCACAACGTCACATGCTCGTCAGCCTTAACGGCCGCAAATCGCAGTCCCGATTGGTTCCCAAGCTTCACAAAGCCGCTATCCTTGATTTGTGACAACGTTCTCGTAGGTTACGTGGTATTTGTGAGGCAATAGACTTAATTCTTTTGATGGGCAGCTGAAGATTCGATGCTCTGTTATGTGACCTTGAGTGAAATAAGTTTATAACTAAACTCGATTTTTTGTTGCTGCTTGTCTAAGTACGTTAAAGCATCAGGCCAAATTCAGAAAGTAGTGTCCGCTCAAACCGCATTGCTATAATATTGGTGTTATGCGCAATGTAGCTGGTAGGTTATGGTAGAAGCACTAAAGGTGTAAATAGTTTCTCTAGTGGTCGTTATTTTCGTGGTTAGGCATTTCCTGAGGAGAATCTTGTATCTCAGTTTCTGAGGACGAAGTTCATGTACATGTAATACAGTTCCGAATATTGGATAACTGTGGCCATCATTTGGTCAAGCATTCCACAAACATACATGGGCAGAACTTTGTGATCAACCCGCCGGCACTGATATGAGGTGTGTTACCGTTGGCCGTTGGCCGTTGCGCGAGCTGAGTACAACCTTCTACCGGCTTAGTTGAACTCACGTTCCGCTGTAATATCTATAATTAATTGGAGTCATGGTTCAGAGCCTAATCCCGTAGAAACTCTTCAAAGACCAGCCCAGCCAAGAACTGAAGTTCAGGATTTTGATAGCTGCTTGAAGCTGGAAAAATCGATGATTCAGGCAACACTGTAAGAAAACACACAGACACTGGAGAACTCAATTAACAATGGTGTTGATTTAGCAACAAAATATTCTCTTTGAGAGGAATCTGCACTGCTAAAAGGTATTTCCCTCAGTAGATGACTGGCCAGTCCGATTCCCACCGAATAAGGTTGATGCCCAAGAGTGCAGCATTGGCGCTGTTGTAGTAATGGTACACAAACACATCAGCATCCGCATCCGTAAACACAGACGGGTGACCGGGTCCATAGATCGAGCCATGAGTAGCCATCACCTCAGTACCACCGCCGTTCAACATGCTCACTCCGTTACGATCGGTGAACGGGCCCGTCACGCTGGTAGACCGACCGACCATAGTGCGGTACGTGCTCGACGCGCCCTTGCAGCAGAAGTCGAACGACACCCACAGGTAGTAGTAACTCCCGCGGCGTGTGATAAAGGGCGCCTCGATGGCGCCGTCGTTGACGGTGCGGCGGGCGAGAGAAACTAGGTTCGTGCCGGAGCGCTTGCCGGTGCTGGAGTTGATGGAGATCATCTTGATGCCCGTCCAGAAGGAGCCAAAGGACAGCCACCAGTTGCCGCTGGCGTCGACGATGAGGTTGGGGTCGATGGCGTTGTAGTCGACGGAGCTCGAGGATTCAATGACGAGGCCCTGGTTCGTCCACGAGCCGGAGGCACCGGTGGAGCTCGTGGCGAGGAAGATGGCGGACTTTTGGGAGCCAAAGGTGGATGCTGAGTAGTACATGTAGTACTGCCCGTTGCGGTAGGAGATGTCGGGGGCCCAGAGGTTGGTGTCTCCGCCCGTGTAGGCTGTTGTCCACGAGGCGCCGTTGGGGAAGGCGGCGCCGGCGTCGCGCCAAACGGTGCGGTCGGTGGAGGTCTTGAGAGCGATGTTGGTTCCGGTGTGGGCCATGAGGTATGTACCGCTTGACGTCTTGAGAACGGAGGGGTCGTGGACGTTGACGCTTCCGGAGACTGGGCCCGGGTTCGGGTACTCTGCGGCGACATTCGAGATGACTGAGAGGACGGTGAGGAGGCCACCGAGCAGGCCTTTCCATATGGGCGCCATTTTGGGTTCGTTGTTAGGTCTGTTGAATTGTATGATCGCCCGTGAGTTGAAATACCAGTTGCCAAGATGGATCTCAACTGTAAGAGAGGCCGATCCCACAGTTTTCCAACTTCAACAGAGACGGGGAACAGTCGCAGCTGGGCCTTATGTATTCTCAAATACAAAGAGCGCGAACGAAGCCATATTGGCTAGTCGTGTTGTCTATCTGCCCTACCTAGGCATGCTACCTTGAACCTGGGGCCGGCAGACGGAGTTTTGATAGGTGCAAACTAGTTGGAAAATTTCCCATTGGTCCTCTTATAGACCGGAGCATGGGTGCCTGTCGGTAGTTGGTAAGATACGTGGATTTAGTCAACTTCTTATTTTCCGTGTGTTCCTACGTTGCCAAGGAGCCCCATCACAAAGTCTCCAAGCGCACCACGGATTAATCTCCAACCCCCGCGGAGACTTTGGTCCCGTGATTGTTCTTGGTGTCTTTTGAGGGTCTTACCCCCAAGAAGAAGAAAACCAACGCGTGGGGTTGTGGCCGATGGAACGAAGCAAACGGCGTTCCTGACCCCAATGTTCGTAGACTGACGTGCTGTAATCAATATTGTCTGTTACTGACACACGCTTGCTTACTCGAAACTCTCCCTGCGTAGCTGCTCATTCGAACGCAAAACACAGGCCCGCACTTTGCAGCCCACAGCTGACAATGCTACCTTGGCTTGCCTTAGGTGGTTCTGCTTGCGCGCAGGAAGAGTCAGTGACATCACAACATCGCGAGGACATGTTATATGCTGGTTTCGCAGCAATGCTCGCTGCTCTCGTATTATACAATTGAGCAAGGCGTGTCACGACCAAGTGGTAAAGCCTGGAGAAAACAATCAACAAGTTTTTTCCTGGGACCAAGCAACTGACAGCGGCGAGCGAAGTCTGGAACAATATCTACCCCTTTCCAAGGCAAGCATTTTTCACTAAGTCCCATCTAGTCACTGATGTATCCGATTTGTAATTTAGACTAAGTTAATTGGGTAGTTTTGAACGATGTTGTACAATTTGCCACATAATCCTAAATGGATGGATTATTTGAAAAAGCAGGAAGCAGAGAAGCGGCACATAGAACATCGAGGTTGCGCAGAGACGGCAGGGAAAGAATAGAAAGCGGGATAATAACATCAGCTTGAGGAATCATTTGTATGGTAGCAGAGCAGAAGGTTGGCAAATGATGCGCATAAGGGACTCACGACAATCAAATGACTGCGGAATAGTTGAATTTGTTCTTGGACCGCTTCTTGTAGAGGCCTTGCGGCAGTACACCAATGCACATTCTCGTACATCCTATTTCCTTCAAACACCTTCAAAAGGGCTCCCAAATTGTTCGAGGATCTGACTCAAGTCCAAGTCCTTATTCCAGAGACCGTAGTTGGAGCTGATACGCATGTTAGACTAGCTTCGTCTAAAAGGATCGTATGTGGTGGCTATGTGCCGCTGTTGTCCGCAAGTTGGTCGTTCATGGTGTTTTGCAAAACAACACCATCATTTTGAGTATTTTTTGACATGGAAATATGACACGTAGAATCTGAATAAACAGCTCTTAAAGTTCTTTATAGTCTTCCAAGTGTTCCAAGCTAGGTGGTCGCCCAAACCTACGCCTAGTATGTGTTAATTTGTCGCTCGGGAAACCTACATCGATATTCCGCCGAGAACAACTCTGTTTCAACGATATTTCCGGAGCGGGGCGCCGGAGGGGCCGTGCCAGTGACTTTGGGAGTAAGACCCACATCTCCGGGTGGCGGGGCTCAGTCGGGCAATACCTGCTGGACACAGACAATGGTCACGCGAGCTTGTTGCTTGGAAGCTCGAATGATATCTTGCGCTCATGTCGTGCATATTGAGGCTGTGAAGGTCTTCACTTACCGCCGCGTTTCCTCGCTTTGACTGGGATGGTGCAGGTCTCCAACCAAAGTCGGATCGAGTGATTACTGGTTGGGTTGCCAAGTCGGAATGACTCGGGCCAATTCGCTGACGAGGGATGGGCGGTCTGTCTGTAAAGCTCTCGGGTTTAGCTTGACAATCTTGGCCGTCCCCAACGTTGCGTTCAGGGCCATTTGGGGTGCGCCGTAACGATAGTTCATGAGGTGCCTACAAGGCACGCAGGCATGGTAGATTGTAAAGGTACGCGACGAGGAGGGTACATGGTGATGCAGTGCGACGGGGAAGAAGATTGCCTGGATGGGTTGACAAAGTGAACTTGGCTGGGCGGCAACGTCCACTAAGAATGGGCGGCTGGCGCACATGTCCCAGCAGCCAAGACTCCCAAGAGACCCAGACTGCGAAATATTGTGGAGGAATTTTGTGTACCAGGTAGGTTGAGGGACGCTGATAAGGTAGTGAATGTACCTTGGAATATCCACTGCAGACACGAACTTGGTGATACGCCGGGGAGAAGGCCGTATGATTCCAAACCGAACTGCTGCTGCAACGGAAGGCTTCTAGAACGCGGGAGCAAGTAAGAATGCTAGTAGGTAGTACCTTTGGCTTTAATCCGCTGGTGGCAAAACCTGGCACCATAATGCAAGTTACTGTTAAGACAATCATGGTACGTAACGGTAGGCCGATGCTGCCCAGGTGGGAGTGGCTTGCTGAGGTGTACTTACCCGCAACGCGGCGTAACCATTGGAGGTTTCCCAAGATGCGCCATCGGCGCCATCGGCGTCATCGCCGGCTGCGCCCCGATAACGACGGGGGGAAAGAGGGAAGCCCCCCCCCCCGGGCCCCCAGTCGTTGCTTTCCGTGCCTTCCCCCAGGGTGCAAATGCCTCTCCCTACGCCCGCCGGCTTCCGCTCCTTTCCGGCGTGTCTCTCACCTTCCTGCCCTCGCAACATCACCAGCACCTGCTTATTTAATACCCCACACACGCTCAATGACCCCAAGTTCCCGCCGTGCTTTCCTCACAAATTCGAGCGGACTTGGCATCTGACGTAATCGTGCCAATCGTGCACTTTCCCATGTCTGAATGCGTGGGATTGTCCTTTCCAAACCAAACACCTAGCAATCCCGTAAATCCCCAAATAATGCTACACACAGCACAAGCCTGGAGGGCCCGCCTCCGCCAAGGTCAGCCAAGATGGCCAAGCATGTTTTAATGCTTGATGGATGGAGCCACTCGCAGACTTCTACGCCAGTTAGAAAATCTTCGCAGAAACGATTCCTGTCACCGTCACCATCTGGGCACCTAGGGCGTACCGAGTACCTGCCTAGCTCGCCGTACATCCATGTTCTGTCCGCCTACTCTGCCCCCCTCATTCTTTCCTTGTTGTCCCTCAACCGCCACGATACAACTACCGTTCTTGCCGTTTCCATAATCAATGGATCGCTGTTGTCCTTGGCGATGCGGCCTTTCGCCTGCCTCGCCGCCTTCAAAAGGCACACCGTTGCCGCCCCTCGCCGCGTCTCCCTCTTGATGTCTCTGTCCTACCACCACGAACACTGAAAGCAATTCAATGACACCTCAATTGACAACCTGCCTCTGTGTTGCCACCTTGACCAGTCCTTGCTGAACTCGCTACACAATCTAGACATCTTTCGTACCTTACTGATCGATTTTGTCGACAAGACTACACGTCACTGCCAGTCTATCCCACCCAACTCAGTGCGGAATTATCCTTTCAACCCCCTCGTCGTTCTGGCTCTCTGACTTGCAAGAGTCCTAATCTCTCTTGCACAAACTCTAACCCCCATCACCTATTTTGAGCTCCCACCCTCTGTTCCCCTTTGCCTGGCATGGGGAACCAAAAGGCCGCAAAGCCCGATGAGAATCACGTCTCGGGCCAATCCAACAAACCGCTCTCTCACCCAGCCCACGCCTTGTCATACCAGCAGCTGGCCGAGGAGCTCCGTGCCAACACCCTCCATGGTCTCTCAGCCCAAGATGCAAAGTCCCGTCTCGACGAATTCGGCCACAATGACCTTGGCGAAGCCGAGGGCGTTCAGCCCATCAAGATCGTCATCGCCCAGATTGCCAATGCCATGACCATGGTGAGTTGCCTTCCCATCTCCTCTCGATTCCTACCTTTGCTGACCCGTGTCTAGGTCCTGATTCTGGCCATGGCCGTTAGTTTCGGCATCGGCTCGTACATCGAGGGCGGTGTCATTACCTTTGTCATCTTGCTCAACGTCATCGTGGGTTTCTTCCAGGAGTACTCGGCCGAAAAGACAATGGACTCCCTCCGTTCCCTCAGTTCTCCCACTGCCAACATTGTTCGTGACGGCGAATCCATGGTTGTTCCTTCGGGTGAAATCGTCCCTGGTGACCTCGTTGAAATCAAGACGGGAGACACAATCCCCGCAGACGTCAGGTATCCTATGCCATCAACAGCAACGTTAAGACCAAGCAGAGTAACTGATGATGCTACAGGCTGATCGAGGCGGTCAACTTCGAGACCGACGAGGCTCTGTTGACCGGCGAATCCCTCCCCGTACGAAAGAACGAAGACGCTACTTTCCCCGACAACACCGGCCCCGGAGACCGTCTCAACGTCGCTTACAGTTCGTCCAACGTTACCAAGGGCCGCGCCAAGGGCATCGTCTTCGCAACAGGTGTTTACACCGAGATTGGAGCTATCGCGTCTGCCCTTCGCAAGAAGGATTCCAAGGTCCGCGAGGTCAAGCGCAAGCCCAACGGCAAGGCGAAGCCTCACCGGTACCTCGAGGCCTACACCCTGACTTTGACCGATGCCATTGGACGTTTCCTTGGTGTCAATGTTGGCACTCCCTTGCAACAAAAGCTCTCCAAGCTCGCCATGCTGTTATTTGGCATCGCAATCGTCTGTGCCATCATTGTTCTCGGCGCCAACAAGTTCGAGGCTAGCCAGGAGGTCATCATCTACGCAGTTGCAACCGGTCTGTCCATGATTCCGGCCAGTCTCGTTGTCGTGCTCACTATCACTATGGCGGCTGGAACTAAGCGTATGGTGAAGCGAAATGTCATTGTACGCAATCTCAAGTCCCTCGAGGCCCTTGGTGCAGTCACGGACATTTGCTCCGACAAGACGGGTACCCTGACGCAGGGCAAGATGTTGGCTCGTGGTGCTTGGTTGCCTGGAATGGGAACGTACACCGTTGAAAACACGTCGTCACCAATGGACCCCACTACTGGTGATGTTCGCTACGATGAGCGGTCACCTAGGCACCTCAACTTCAAAAAGGGCGGTGAAGCTTGTGGCACCATCATGAAGACCGACCAGCTGTTGCAGAACAGCAAGTCGACCCTCTCCGCGTTCCTCTATGTGGCGTCTCTGGCCAATCTCGCCACCATCAACAAGAAAGACGATCAATGGCATGCTCGTGGAGATCCCACCGAAATCGCCATTCAGGTTTTCGCTTCCCGGTTCGACATGAATCGCCTCAAGTTTGTCAGTGGCAGTGACACGCCCGAGTGGAGCGAAATCGCCGAGCTTCCATTCGACTCCGATGTCAAGCGAATGTCTGTCATCATGAAGAACAACGCCACAAACGAGTACTTTGCCTACACCAAGGGTGCCGTTGAAAGAGTGATTCAGATCTGCACAAAGTACGCCCCCAGAGATGATGGCGAACTAGTAGACATCACCCCGGAGTTCCGTGAGGAGATCCTCCGCAACATGGAGGCTTTGGCGGGACTCGGGCTACGCGTCCTCGCACTTGCTAGCAAGCCTTACGAGGGTACACCCAGCAAGGGCGATGAAGTTGAGCGTGCTTCAGTCGAATGTGACCTGGTCTTCCGCGGTCTCGTGGGACTGTACGATCCTCCTCGCCCGGAATCCGCCCCCGCTGTTCGACAGTGCCACGAGGCTGGTATTTCGGTCCACATGCTCACTGGCGACCACCCCGAGACTGCAAAGGCCATTGCTATCGAGGTTGGAATCTTGCCTACTCGTATGGAGCGCGTCGCAAGGAACGTCGCAGACGCCATGGTTATGACGGCTTCCTCGTTCGATGCGTTGAGCGATGACGAGGTTGACAAGCTTCCCGTCCTGCCACTCGTCATTGCGAGATGCGCGCCCAGCACCAAGGTCCGAATGATTGAGGCTCTTCACCGTCGCAAGAAGTTCTGTGCTATGGTAAGCTCGCTATCCCTTTGCCCCATCTGTTGAATGGTATTCTGACTCGGATAGACTGGTGACGGCGTCAACGACTCCCCGTCTCTTCGCCGTGCCGATGTTGGTATTGCCATGGGCCAGTCGGGTTCAGACGTGGCCAAGGATGCATCTGATATCGTCCTTACTGATGACAACTTTGCTTCCATCGTCGCTGCTATCGAAGAGGGCCGCCGTATCTTTGACAACATTCAGAAGTTCGTGTTGCACGTCCTTGCTGAGAATATTGCCCAAGCTGGAACATTGCTGGTTGGTCTCACTTTCAAGGATGCACGCGGGCTGTCAGTCTTCCCGCTTGCCCCGGTTGAAATCGTCTGGATCATCATGGCCACCTCTGGTATGCCCGACATGGGACTTGGCTTCGAGCGCGCCGTCCCAGACATCATGCGTCGCCCACCTCAATCTCTCAAGACTGGAATTTTCACCATGGAGTTCCTCGTCGACATGATTTTCTACGGCCTCTGGATCACCGCCCTTTGCCTCTCAAGCTTCTCACTGGTTGTCTACGGTTTCGGAGCTGGTGATCTTGGAGAGAGCTGCAACGAAAAGTACAATGACTCTTGCGACACAGTCTTCCGCGCCCGTGCTACAACTTTTGCCTGCCTCACATGGTTTGCTTTGTTCTTGGCCTGGGAGATGGTCGATATGCGCCGGTCATTCTTCCGCATGCAACCGGGATCCAAGAAGTACTTTACTCAGTGGATGATTGACGTTTGGCGGAACAGGTTTCTTTTCTGGGCCATTATCATCGGCTTTGTTACCCTGTTCCCCCTGCTGTATATCCCCGTCATTAACACAGTCGTGTTCAAGCACAAGGGCATCACGTGGGAATGGGGCATTGTGTTCATTGCTGCAGGACTTTTCTTCGCTGGTGTCGAATCCTGGAAATGGGGCAAGCGCGTCTTCTTTAGGATCCGCAACAGCAAGAAGCTCGGTGTCGCGTGGAAAGACATGGACATTGAGCAGCGTGTGTTTGGGGAGTACCTCGGCTCCAGCGATGATGATCACCACACGGAGATTGGCGACGATGACATTGACCTGGAGAAGGAGAGGGCGGCGTTTGAGAAGAAGTAAGCGAGAGATGATGACCAGATTGTCAGCTTATGGAGACAAATGAGTGGGCACTTTGGAGCGGGTGAGCGAGACTAGTGCGCATATTGTAGATGATCATACCTTGGTGATGTGGTAACGAATCAAATCATTTACAAACTCGTCGTTGCATCTTGGTGAAGTGTGTCTCAGTCGGCTGCTGCAAGTCACCAGGCACCGACTTAAGCCCCATGTTGCTATTACCAAACCAGAGACTACCCGGACGAGACTATTCCCATTCCTTGCGCAGATCGGCCCTGCACATGGCCACAGCACCATGCCAAGGACACTGGATCCCCGAGTTCGAGATCCTTCCGTGTATAAACGAAGAATTTCTCGTGGTGCGGTACCACCAAAGGATTGGTGGCCCCGCTGAAGCTGACAACTTTTGCATCAGTGACTTGAAGGATTGGCTTCAAGGTAGATTCAAGGTACCGAATAAAGGGAAGGCGTCTCCCAGATTCCACACTGGTTGACGGCATGGAATCGCTCTTCTTGGAATAATCCATCAGGGAATCTGCCAAGATGCGCTTCTCAGTCGGGTTTTCACACCTCCTCTCAGCGCTCCTCCTAGCGCAATCTCCAACACTAGCGCTCGCCATCCCAACAACCCGCCAATCCGGAAACCTAGCCTTCCTTCCTGACGATGCCCCCTTCACATTCTCCTATTCCACACCAGACACCAACGCAAAGAACTGGATCGGCATCTACCGTGCCTCCGGCGGCGGACCGGAAAACCAGACGTATGTAGAGCCCTCGCTGGCCTGGGGATACGCGCCCGCGTCCAACGGAACGCTCAAGATTGAGAGCGAGGCGTTGGAATTAGTCCCTGGCGACTACCGCGCTTTTTTTCTCGCCAAAGACGGGTATGCGTGGCTTGCGTCGCCGGTGGACGTGAGGGTGCCGTATGCTTCTGGGCCGGTGGGGTTCCTCGTTGATGAGGTCACGCTGAGGAATGCGCGGGTTGGGGAGGGGTATGAGGCAAGGATTGGGGGGTTGAGGAGCCGGGGCGGGGATGGAGCTGTGAGGTTTCGTAAAGTCGATGGGAGCGGATGGGTTGTTGTGTCGGAGGATGGGGTCGTATCCGGCACGCCTGACGGCGCGGGTCCCGCGAGAGTTACGATCGAGGTGGTTGTCGTGGAGGCTGCGGATGGGGAGGCTGCGCGGTTGGATGTTACTATTCCCGTGCGGGACGTCGGCGCACCGCTGGTGGATCAGTTGTCTGTCATGTCGTTCAATTTGTGGCACGGCGGGACGCAGGTATCTGATTACCACGCCAAACAGGTGCGGTTTCTGGCCTCGAGCGGCGCAGACGTCGTCGGCGTGCAGGAGAGCACGGGGGGCCACGCCGCGCGATTGGGGGATGCGTTGGGGTGGTTTGCGTGGCAGGGCGGCGATGTAGGGTTCGTGAGTAAGTACCCTCTTGTCGGTGGTGCTGCGCACGAGGGCGGGACGTATGCTGCGTCTGTGAGGGTTGTGTTGGAAGGTGAAGAAGAGGAGGAGAAGAAGCAGAAGAAGAAAAAGGAGGAGGTTGTGTTGTGGAATGTGCATTTGGGGTATGATCCGTACGGACCGTATGATTTCTGCTTTGAGAATATGACGGTGGAGGAAGTGCTCGCGCGGGAGGGAGAGTCAAAGAGGACGCCGCAGATTGAGTCTGTGGTCCAGGCCATGGCTGGGCCGTTGGCGGAGGCGGAAGCGGTGCCGGTGGTGTTGGTGGGTGATTTCAACGCGCCTTCGCATCTGGATTGGGTTGATGCCACGAGCGGGATGCATTGCGGACAAGGGGCGGTGCCGTGGCCTACGTCTGTTACGCCGACGGAGGCCGGGTTGGTTGACTCGTATCGGGTTGTGTGGCCGGAGCCGGGGGCGAGGCCGGGGATTACTTGGTCGCCGGTGTTTTTGGAGAATGAGGGACGGCCGGAGCCGATGGATAGGATTGATTTTGTGTATTTTAGGGGCAGGAAGTTGGAGGTTATCGGGTCGGAGGAGGTTGTGGTGGGGCAGCCGGCGCCGGAGCCGGGGCATGGGGGCAATGAGTGGACCTCAGATCATGCTGCTGTTTTGACGAGGTTTAGGGTGAGGAGCTAGGTTTATACACCTTATGGTATGCCACGGTGTGTCATATTGAATGTGATCTCTGGAAATCAAGTCTACGCGAGTGAAGATGATGTGTGCCTTGTAGTGTAAGGTACATGATGGGTTCTATGCTCAGTGCCCCGTCTTCTTCTCGGACCGCGCTGTGCCTTTTGCTATTCTTGAAACGAGTTATCTCTCGTGGTATATGCAACTTCATAAACCCATACAGAGAAGAAAACCTCAACAATTGCTGTGAACCCTGTGCACTCTCTCCTTGGTTGAATCATCAACAGGGTTGTGCTGTTGGATGTGTGCTGTGATACTGAGATGCATGCTGCTTAGGTAATTACGCACTCAATTTGTGCATAGTGACTAAGCAAGGTGGGATGCATTACGATGACGTCGGTGTGGTTTGTGCGGAGCAATGATGTAAGTGCCCGGTGAAGAGGAGGAAGGAGGTCCGAGGTGGTGGTGGTTGCCCGATGTCAGGCCACTCACGGCAGGCACTTTGACGTTTGAACTTGTTTCCAGACTTTGCCATCAGGGAACACCTCCTCCCAAACCTGAATAGCCGTTGTTCGGTTTCATTCCTCACAATCACCACAATTCAACTCAGAGAAGAAGAGAGAAATCCACAACTAGATACCACAAACCTCGAACCGAGTCAAAGAATCGACTTCGAAACATCAAAAACCAAAACCAAAACCAAAACCGACCACACGATGCCCTTCTCATTCACATCCTCCTTCTCCTTCTCCTCCTCAATCAGCCACAACGGCAAGACGGAGGAGAAGCGCTGGGCCCGCAAGACGGAACGGAGTCCCTCGGGCACCACCGTCCGGACGGCCTCCTACAAGACGGGTGAGCCCGTATACCTCGAGCGTCGCGAGTACGATTCTGCTGGAAGGGCCCTACCAGAGGGACGCGCTGTCAAGAGTGATGGGGCAGAAAAGATTGATCGTCGGATCGAGGACGTTTCCGAGCGGGAATGATTGCTAGAAGCAAGGAATGGAATTATCGACATGATGAAAATGGAGTTTTGGGGTTTGATTTGGGAGGGTTGCTTTGCTTCAGGGCCAGTCAATCAGCGATTATTCGTCGCACTGGAGAAGTGTACTTGGTGTGTCGACAGGAGGTGTTCTTTGTTATTTTGAGCATCATCAATTACTTGGGTTGACCATCGTACCACGGTATCAGTAAGAGGCAACTTGACAAGAACATTCTCAACATTCATCTCACAGGCATCAAACAAACGTGGTGGTCATGACTGCATTATACTATGCTACTTTGCGCACTCTGCTCCGAGGCACGCGTCGCGAGACTATACCCTCCAACCTCAAATCTTGATGACAACCTTGCCAAAGTGTTTCTGGTCCCACTGGTACTGATACGCCTCCTTGACCTCTTCGAAGCCGAAAATCCTCTGATCGACCACAGGCTTGATCTTGTTCGCGTCAATCGCCTGGTTCATCTCCTCAAACTGCTGCTTCGACCCGACAAACAAGCCGCGAATCGTGCAAATGTTGGCCAGCGCATCCAGCAGCGTCGGCTGCTCCCCCTCGGCCTTATCCCCGTGCGACAAAAACCCGATAATCGAAATCACACCCTCCAACTTGACCGCCTTGAGCGACTGCGCGACCGTACCGGGTCCGCCGACCTCGATAATGTGGTCGACACCCACGCTCTCCGGCGTCAGCGACTTGGCCACCTCACCCCAGTTGGGCGTCTCCTTGTAATTGATGACGTGGTGCGCGCCGAGCTTCTTGAGCTGCTCGCCCTTTGCGGCGGACGATGTCGTCGCGATGACCGTCGCGCCCGCGGCAATGGCGAACTGGATCGCCGAGAGACTCACGCCGCCCGTGCCCTGAGTGAGGACGTAGTCGCCCGGCTTGAGCGCCTTGGACTGCAGGCCGTACAGCGCGTTCCACGCCGTCAGCGGCGCGCAGGGGAGCGTGGCGGCCTCGACGGACGAGAGAGTCTTGGGGGACTTTACGACGCCGTGCTCCGGGAAGACGGCGTATTGGCGGAGGGTGCCGTCGAGGGCGCCGCCGAGGCCGGATTTGACGGCGAGCGGGGTGATGGGGTTGGATTGGTGGTGCTGGTTGAAGAGGGTCGCAATGTTGTCGCCTTCTTTGACCTGCGTTACCTTTGGGCCGACGGAAACGACGCGGCCGGCGCCGTCAGAGGCCGGGACGCGGGGGAAGCTGACGGGGAAAGGGTAGAGGCCCTGTAAAGGAGCGGCGTTAGCGGGGGCGGGCGTTTCGAACGACAGGAGGAGCCGGGGGGGGGGGGGGGGAAGACGGTCGGCACAGGGAGGGAACTTACCTTGGGGATAGCCAAGTCGCGAAAGTTTAGAGAGACGGCCTCGATTTGCACGAGGACGTCGTAGTCGCCCAGCTGCGGTAGGGGCACATCCTTCTTGAGCTCGAGGGTGTCCCAGTTACTGCTGTCCTTGCCGATGCCGGTGATGGACCAGGCGTTGGTTGATGTTGGTGCCATGATGCGTGGGTTATGTGTGATGATCGGTCTAAGGGGCGGTAATAGTCCAAGGAACCTGTAGATTCTTTCACCAAAGAGGATGCTGGATCTTGCTTCGTAGACTTGGTTTATATATAAGTAAGTATCGATTCCCAAAAACGATTTCAAAGCAGTCGTGGAGTTTTTCGCAGCTCCGAAGCTTCGAAGAGTGTCGACATGACGCAATGTCCACTTATACCGTCATATCGGGGTCCGGCAATGTGACATGACCTGCTTTTATTTTTGCACTGATTCCACTGACTCGAATGTGTTGAACCGTCGGCACCCCAGCTATTACCCCCCTGCCCGTGTCCATTGACTTTCCGCCGCCATTCCGCTTTCTGCCCCGGAGCCGCTCGGCATTCACGCCAATTGCCACATTACAACCATCATCTCGGGTGCCGTTTGATCAGTTGGCAGTAGCATACTCCGTACAGTGGGAGTCGCCGAATCACCGCGGCTTTTTGATCTGTCCCTCAATGGCTAATCCACCAAGGTGGCATCCGGATTGTCATGAGAACACAACGATCGGACCATGGATGCATTGGATGGTGCCGCGTTGTTTTACAGTGTCTATGGAGTACTGATTTGTAAGGCCGTAGCTCTCGACCAACTGGACTTGCCTAGGTCTGTACTCACCTGTATCCATTTTCCAGAAGATTTTCTTCCTTCTAGCTTACTAGTTTAGTAGTGACCCATGAGGTTGTCACCGACAAAGTGGGAAAGTGAGGGGAGGGTAGCAACGGGGCGGGGGGGGGGGGGGGGGGGGACAAGACAGCAGGTCAGGCAAATGCAGCACATGCACAAACAGGTTGCGAATAGCTTCACTTTTCCCACTAGTCATGCATATCAGACCTAGAACCCGAGACGACTTGTATGAACCCCGTTGAAATCCAACACAACACCCCTCCTTTTGATCCTCCGATAAGCGCGAGGATGCAGATTGACACGACACATGGTTTTCTGCCGCGTTCACCGCCCGGCGGTCGCTCCTCGCCAATGTCCACTTGCGCCGGAGTCTGCCCCAGCTACTGTCCAGGCGTGACCATCCTGATGCATCTGGTTTGCTTTCACCTGCGCACAGCACAGCACAGCACGGCCAGTGTCTCGGTGAGTGATTTCTCTTCACGGCATTCAGTGCTTCCTCAAGAATATCCCGTAAACGTAGCCAAGCAGCACTCGCGAGGGCTTGGGTTGTACAAATTGCGTCGGTATCAAGCTGAACCATACCGTATACATAGTATGAGCAATGTTTCCCAGGTGCTCTGACATACAGCCGCGGGTCGAATGCGAGGAAACCTACTCACCCGAGGCGTTCGCTGAACAATCATCGAAATGAGCACAACCGGGGTCCTTCCAGCGATATTCATCTCCCCCCCCCACGCAAGGAGACCGATGAATTGGTTTGTTTCCCGGGGTTATTTCCATGCCAAAAGTCTAGAACCCGCAGCTGACGCCGCTCCACAATCAAGCTGAGAACAAATGAACCACCGCCCAAGGTCCACCGTGGCACCGTCCGATGTCTTCGGGTTCGCGGGCTGAAATTGAGAGTGTTCGGGATGGCGAGCTTTCAAAGTAGCTGAATGGGGTCCACTCATGTACAGAAGCGAGGACTCCGTACCCCGTGTTGCTCTCAACATGAAGCTGCGTTTATCATGTTGGCATGCATGGTTCATGTAAACTGCCGTTCCGTCTTTTTGATGGGGGGAGGGGGGGGGCCAGTTCGTGTGATTATTTCCCGTACGGGCCGGGATGTTGGAATCGGCGCGCAGTTTCAGATTGACCAAGTGCAATATGGTCCGGTGTTTACGACCGCCTTGTGGTCTGCTTTCTCTGCTTAATTAGATGCCCCTGCTTCTCCACGAAAAATCCATCAAAACTTATCGACAGGGGGGAAAGGGAGGCAAGATCCGTTTAATCGTTCACAGTGTACGAAGTATGTATGCATGTACTTGGTAGATAATAGCAGCCAGTATGCCTCAAAAGTGATGATCTTATTTCCATCTTCATTCCAACGTTCACTATCATTCTTTTGCGCATCACTGGCGGGTTGCTTTCCACAGTCTTTACAGCGTCTCTCCCTATCCCAGCAAATCTAACTAGCAACGATGCATTTCTCTCGTTACCTGGCCCCGGCCGTCTTCGCCTCCGCCGCCGTCGTCGCCGAAGAGACCTTTTGCGGTGCCCCCAACGACTATGAAGTCCTCATGGGCACCCCTTGGATCGTCTACTCGATGAATTACGCCTACCAGGCCATCAAGGGATCGGCCTGCACCGGCTACTACGGCACATCCGGTTCTGGCGATGCGCAGCGGATCCAATGGAGCAGCATCTGGGACATTGATCCCACGTACCAAAAGGACGTCGTCAAGGGATACTCCTTCATCGGCCTGACCCAGAACCTCGAGACCAAGCTCAGTGCCATCCAGAGCATCCCCAGCACCTACAGCTGGACCGTCTCCAACTCTTCGGCTTACAAAGGTAAAGGAGGGCTTTCTTTTCTTTCCTACCTCTGCATCACGCTAAACTCGGTGCTTGCATGTTGCTGACTCAACTATCCAAAGGCAACGTCGTCTACGACTTCATGACATCCGACACCAAGGGCGACAGCACCTCCAGCAACGCCCAGGAGCTCATGCTCTGGCTCCGCTGGGAGGGCGGACAGGTACCCATTGGCTGGGCCGAGGGCCCGACGGCCACGATTGACGGGCTCTTTGGCAAGGACGGGTGGAAGCTGTACCAGGGCAAGAACACCGACACCGGCATCACCGTGTCTTCGCTGCTTGCTCCCACCCAGTACGGCGACCTGGAGAAGGGCTCCTTTGAGGGAGACATCAAGGACTGGCTCCTCGCGCTCTCCAAGCAGGGTGTCTTTTCCGAGAGCACCTACGTTAACGTAGGAAACGCTGGCCAGGAGCCGTACTGGGGCACTGTCACCTTCAACAACACTCTTGGCTTGAACATCAACCTTTGAGAAAAAAGCAAGGCCGGGGTATCTGCGTGAGACAGCTATATCGGTTTTCGTTTCTTGTACACATTCATCTACATGTTCAATGACGCTGATGGACACATGTTGTAAGTATTCTCCACTGTTTACGACTTCAAAAATATAGTGCCGCTCATGACCTTTGTGGCCGTTCCTCCAAGATGCAGCGTCTCCAGCTTTCGCGCACCATCCGCGCCCCGTTCAAGCTTCGCGTCAATATAAATATTGCTCCTCCGACCCATCTCCACTCCCTGTGTGATCTCAAAGCTGAGGGAATCTTCAGACAGCTCGTGCAAACTCAGATAGCTCGAAAGAGCGCAGGCAGCGCTACCTGTAGCAGGATCCTCCAGATCAGGCTCGATCAAACGGGTCCTGATCTTGTGCACAACACGTCCATCAATCGTCTCGGCACCCAGCCGCACAAAGTAGTACCGCGAAATAAACGTCTCACGCCAACCCTCGTCCAGAAGCTCCTGCTGGCGAAACTCCATGGGCCCAATCTTGGCAGACGCCAACGATGCCAGCGAGGGCAGTTCCACAAGCGCAAACGTCATGCCGTTCACGATGCTGAAGACGGGCGCTTCGACCTCCGCTTTGGCAAGTTCTGCTACCGAACCGCTGTACGGGCCGGGCCCGAGGTCCTTCAGCCGCTTCTGGTGTAGACGGGTGTTGTGCGGGATGGCGGCCCGTACGGACTCGGGCCCCGTCTCTTGGATCTCGATGGGCCCGGCCTTTGCAATCAGCTTCTTGACGCCGCGGGACTTGAGAAAGATAGCCGTGCCGACGGTGGGGTGGCCCGCAAAGGGAAGCTCCGCGGTCGGCGTGAAGATGTCGAAGCGTCGCTCCGTGGATGCGGGGTCGTCGACTTCGTGCACAAAGGTCGTCTCGGAGTAGTTGAACTCTCTGGCAATGGTTTGCTTCTGCGCCTGCGTCAGGGACGTCGAGGCCGGGATCGTGACAATGGCTAGGGGGTTGCCCTCAAAGGGCTTGTCTGTGAAGACGTCGACGGTGGTGTAAGGGAGCTCCATCGATGTGTCGTCCAAGGGCGGATCGCTAAGATGGTGAATCCAATTAAGATGTAGAACAACAAGGCTTGGATGACAGGTAGAACGGGCCCACGGTTCCTCAGGCTGTTAAAGTAGCAAAGCTGGTGAGCAATGAATGAGTCACTGGTTGATTCTCAGACCTGGTCGAAACGAGAGTTGATTTTTAAGCAGCAATTGCCAGTTGATCGGTAAACATTTATTTTCTGTCGCCCGCGCCTTTTGCGCCCTTCGCCGACAGACGTCCCCACTCCCCGGCCCCTCCTCTTGACAATTCACCCGCCGGCCTCTCTTTGAAGTTTCCCCCGGAAATCCACTTCCGCCCTTCGACGATGCTTCCAACACCACGGGTTCAAGTTTCGATGGCGAGCGACGGCGATCAGCCCGCGCTGGTTGCATATTCAGATATCAAGCGTTCAAATACAAAATGTAGCATAGGGCACGTCAAGTCCTCTCCAACTCTCTCACGTCCTTTTCACAACTCAGAGTACTTCAAGCTGTAGCATCAAGACAGGACCATAGTACTCAGCCATGACGACCACACGCCGAAGCGTTTACATCAACCACGAGGCGGGACCCATCAACCCTACCTCCGATGCATCCCTCGCACAGGCATTTCACCAGCAGCTGCCCGGCTTCGCCAGAACCCCTCTCGTTTCTCTCGAGGATATCGCCCAGGAACTAGGCGTGAAAGCCGTCTACATAAAAGACGAGAGCAACAGACTAGGACTGCCATCCTTCAAGATCCTGGGCGCATCATGGGGAACGTTCCGCGCCGTCACGACTGATCTACACTTGCCCGCCGACACGCCCCTCAACGACGTTGCAAAGGCTGCCCAAACGAGTCAACTCTCCCTCTACGCAGCTACGGAGGGCAATCACGGTAGAGCCGTTGCGGCCATGGCCAAGATTCTAGGCATCCCTGCGCACATCTACGTTCCCAGCAGCGTCGACAGTGAGGCAGTCACCAACATTGCCTCCGAGGGCGCCAAAGTCATCGTGAGCAACTCCCACTATGACGACGCTGTCATGGAAGCGTGGCAAGCGTCAAAGTCGGTAAAGGGCGGGCTTCTGATTCAAGATAATGCGTTCGCGGGGTACGAGCAGATTCCTGCCTGGATCGTCGAGGGCTACTCCACCCTCGTTCGCGAGGCCGAGCAACAGGTGGCCGACCACGGGCTGAAGCCGAGTTTGATGGTGACCCCAGTCGGCGTTGGATCTCTGGCGCATGCCGTCGTCTCTCACTGCAAGTCTGATGGACGAGGTTGCGCAGTCCTTTCAGTCGAGCCCGATACCGCTCCGTGTCTTTGGACGAGTCTGAAAGGGGGCAAACCAGTGACGGTTCATACCTCGAGAACCATCATGGAAGGGCTCAACTGCGGTACTGTCTCTCTGACTGCGTTTGATGATCTTCGTGTAGGCATTGATGCCAGCGCTACAGTCTCGGATTTCGAAGCCCATAAAGCCGTGAAGTATCTCCAGACGAAGGGAGTCAAGAGCGGGCCGTGTGGTGGTGCCACCGTCGCAGCGCTCCGCCGGCTTGCCCAAGTAAACCCGCGGCCAGCCTGTCTTTCCAAAGACGCCGTCGTGGTGTTACTAAACACAGAGGGCCCACGGAACTACAAGATCCCCTTGGATGTGTCCACCGATGACCCCGTTACGCTGACACAGATCCTCACGTCCATCGATTCTTCCAACCCCGACCTGTCCAAGGCTTCAGGTGTCGGGGAAGGCGAGATTGCCCACTACATTTCCGCATGGCTGCAACATCGCAACTTCGAAGCGCACTGGTTGGAAGAGACGCAAGGCCGACCTTCCGTAGTCGGTGTGCTCCGCGGGACAGGAGAGGGAAAGTCCATCATGCTCAACGGTCATGTTGACACCGTCAGTCTTTCAAGTTACTCGCCAGACCTGGACCCTTTGAGCGGAGAACTCAAGGAGGACGAAGGAGGACGGATCTATGGTCGTGGAAGCGCGGACATGAAGGCCGGGTTGGCAGCTGCCATGGCGGCAATGGCTCGATGCAGCTCTACATCACGCCCTTCTCTCCGGGGCGATGTCATCCTCGCCGCTGTCGCCGACGAGGAGAACTTCTCCATAGGCACAGAAGAGGTCATCAGGGCTGGATGGAGAGCCGATGCCGCCATCATACCAGAACCAACCAACCAGGAGATGGCGATCTCTCATAAAGGATTTATCTGGATTGAAATTGATATCCTCGGCGTTGCGGCCCATGGATCTAGGCCCGAGGATGGCGTGGATGCCATCTTGCTCGCTGGTGCTGTGCAGACGGCACTTCTGGAGTACTCAAAGGCACTACCTTCCGATCCTCTGCTGGGAAAGGCATCTTTGCATGCAGGCCTCATTCAGGGCGGCGTGGAACCTTCCAGCTATCCGGAGCGCTGCACTTTGACCATTGAGTTTCGAACCATTCCGGCACAAACTACGCAGAGTATTCTTGAAGACGTCGGGAGCATCTTAACCAGTATCGCCAAGTCCAACCCGGATTTCAAGTATGCTGCTCCACGAATGACCTTTTCGCAGCCTCCGCTTGGGCAGAGCCCGGACGGTGAGTTTATCAAGACCTTCATCTCTGCTGCCTCGAAGTGTCTGGATGAAGAGCAAAAGCCTGTTGCGTGTTCTTTCTGGTGCGACGCTGCGTTGTTGAACGAGATCGGTATCCCATCGGTTGTGTATGGCCCCAGGAGTTTTGGGATCCACGGCAAGGAGGAATGGGTGAGCGTACCGAGCATTCGGGAGTTGGCATCGGTAATAGAGACCGTGATTCAAGACTTTTGCGCTTAGATACTGGGCCCAGATCACGGATTAGGTTAAGTTTCGACAAAGGAAGGCGAAATGGATATAATTACATGTGCTGTTCGAGTCTATTGCTCAATGGCTCTTGGATATCTCGACCACCAAACTTTTCCTTGTCACCTCAGGGCTCTCGCCAGCTCAATTCCCTCGTAGCTTTCAGAGCTCCTCAATGTATGCCTCTGTGTTCCCTGCGTAATCTCGTCCATTGCGTTGTATCCAATTTCAGTCTCGCGAGCTCTCATGGCGGAGTCGGTAGTCGGCGATGGCCCCATGGCAAGCAAAACATTCCGGTTCGTCTCTTGTTCTATCTTCCTTCCCTCCTCTAGAGTGCTCATGCCAATTTCCGTTGGAAAGGCACTCTGTCCATCCGACTTCAAGTATCCATTTCTTCCATCCGTCCTCGTCGTTGCGTACATTTCAGAGAACAGTACTCGAAGAACCGGGATAGATGACGCAACGATTGTAACGTTGATCTCAGCTTGTCCCCAAATGAAGAGCAGAGACAGGCGATCTATGAAATGATCAGAGAGATCCGAATACAAGGGTGAAATCTTTATGCTCACATGGTATATCTGCGCCTTCGGCGATGGTCACTATTTTGACAACCTTAATCACCCCGACCAAACCTGCAATGACGCCGAGGCTCATAGCTACGGCTACACCAATCTTCTCATGGCGCTTCAAGGCTAGTCTCCATATCATCGGCCATGGGAGCAGAGACAATATGAAATCGACTAGTGCCGAGTATGCTGAAATAACATGTCAACTGGCTGTCTGTCTGGAAACATTCGGTTGAGTTCATATGTTGCTTACCATTTGATACCATGTGCATAACGACCGAATCCTCAACTCGCCAGCAGGATCCTGGTAGGACAGCTTCATAAGAGTCCGACGGTCTGTCGCAGGCCGCCTTCCAAGCGACGACAGCACTAGTTGCCAAGACTGCGTTCATGGATAAGATCAGGAACCAAATAAAAAATTTCAATTTCCCAGACGCAATGCGTAACATTGTGACCGCAAAAGACGTTTTGCTGAGGGCCAAGGCGACCTTGTTCATGACGACGTTGACAGACGACAGAGTAAAAATATGCGCTGAGAAATCTAGCGACTTTCCAAACCCGAGTCTCATGAGCTCTGTGGTGAGAGACGTCGAGACTAGCAGGAATGTCTCAAGAGATCGATCGTCAGCAATGAAGGCTCTTCCAATGGTTCAACAGGCCTCTTACCCAAGACGCCACCAAAAAGTAGTCATCGATCCACAAGCCACGGGATCTGATCTTTTTGCAATAAACACGACAAAACAGAAAAACAGACGATATCGAAATCATGGCCCATATCGAAGCGATGACCCTAGGCGCCGGGTCTTTGGAAACGTCAATCACGAATGGAGCTGTAGCAGAGATGTTCCTCCTGGAAAGACTTGCTATAATTGTCGAGCTCATTGTACGGAAAAAGTATGATGATGCTGGAGGAAATAAAAATGGCAGAGTGGAAACTTCTCACGCCAATGATTTCCATGGCTGGGGCTCATCTCTGATTAAAAGTTAAAAAGCTGTTCCGCTCCCGATGAAGATGTCAAGTCTTTTCGGGAAAAAGAAAAAGAAAGAACATCGCTTCCACTATATCACACGTCGGGACCAAAGCTCAAAAATAAACCATATAAAAAATGCAATCCGACAACGTGTTCTGTGGCAACCGAAGGACCTCTTGGATCACGTTCGTGTAGGGGGGCCAGGCCTGGGTGAATCAACGCAAGGATGCAATTCACACCAAAAAAAGAAATACGATCCAAAGCTGTGGGATAGTAATCCTCGGTTGCCCCGCACAATGCGAATTATCATTGGTCACCACAACTATCTGAGTGACCAAGCCTCCCGACGGAGACTAGTCGATGCTAGGGAAGCTGCCTGCATCACAAGCTTGACAACGAGTGTTTGAAGCCATGTCGTCTCGGATTTCGAAGTGGAACAAGGTCTCGAGGAAACTATACGATAATGACAGCGTTTGCATGAAAGCGAGACTATACTGGGCTTGCTAGTCATAAATCAGAAATGTGCTTGGGCAGGTTGAGTTGTTGACTGAGTCGACAAAAAGTTTTTCATCATGCAGTCTAGCCGAGAGGTTGTCATTAGTTCCTGAGCTGTCAGATTACTGATTAGTGCTGTTATTCGGGAATACCACGAAACAGTATAAGTCTTGTCGGATCATCTGTCACTGTTGCCTATTCACTCAGCGTGGTAGATGTCTCTTGGAGGGTTGGATGTCGCACCATCGAATCCTTCGCACGTCTTTGACAATGCACTCAGGCGATTCGAGTTCACCCCTGTGGTTCAAGGCGCGGTGACACACATGAGTTACATCGGATTATGTGGACAGACAGCTTCCTTACGCTAGATAAGATCTCGAACTTGCACCCCATGAGAATAGTCCTCGGAAGTTCCGTCCCGGCACGTTGGTCTAGAATCTGATGCCTTGCATCATGCTAGCTGCATAGTAGTCTTACGCTAGTCTTTCCTGTCCCTTGAGCTCTCACATGCCATTCGCTGTCTCTTTGGAAGTTTTTACAGTATTCGGAAAAGGAAGTTCTCGAGAATTGACCAATCACTCTGCTCATTGACCCTTGCAAACCACGACTGAAGGTAAGCACACCACGCACAAGGGACCTTAGAAAGTAAAGAAATACCGACGAACAGGAAGTCCAGTTGCTGGGGAACCGTCTCATTGTTCCTGCTCCATCATGGCAGACTTGACTATATGCTAGATTGCGGACGAATTATCATAGAGCGGGCCTCGCTGGTTGTCAACTTGTCAATCATGATTAGGTCGATGCAATGTCTTAGGAATGGCATGGTATTGTATACAGCCCACGCTCAAGTCTTCATTTCTGTTCGCTAGTAGATTAAGTCTAGCTTCTTTTAAACACGATATAACCATAACTCATTTATCCTTTTGTGCTTTAAGTGCATCCTTTTCTGGCGTTTGTATTAAAAGTGAGAATGGTCTGATATGGATATGGGTCGAGGTCCAAAACGATAGTCTAGGAGGAGAGTAGCGTGTGCATGGTATCTTACAATCATAGAAAGCGGTTGTCGGAAGGGCAAATCTGGCGGCGAAACTGTGCATACTACTTGTAGATCTGACTAGCCTACCTTGGACGAGAAGTTTCGCCAATGTTGTGAGCACAGCGCAAGGCTAGGCGGGCGCATCTACACAGTAAGGTATTCATCAGTGATCCCAAGTGGTCCGGAATTTACGAAATGGTTTACCCTACCCTGCCCGCGCGCAACAAGGATGTGTTCAGATCTTCAAGGTTTCGTCCGAACGGTATCCAAGAACTTGGATTCTCGGCCCCACCACGGAACTCAATGCTTATCGATAAGAAGGCGGGCATGGCGGGCCCGAAACTGGCGGTAATCATCGGCAGAATATTTGCCGTCTGAATTGAGACACGCTTGGGTTTCTCAAAGCAATGAAGCCATCGGATGCACGCCTCGCACATCGATTTTCCGATATTATACCCAAATGCTGCTTTACTTACGTCGAACGTGGGTACGGTACTCTCCCTCACAATGTCTAGCGCAGATACCCGGTAGACGCGCGGCGTCAACCAAAGCCACGAAGCCCGCTTTCGCCCAATCCCTTCTGAAGGAGACAACCCCGACAGCGTCAAGGTTGGCCGAAACGGGGGCTTGGGCGATGACCCCACGATCCAAGAAGCCGGAATATGGCAGTGCTGCTGCAAATAAGCCCAAGTCGAAGAAAAAGGTCAAGGGCGACAAGTCGCGTGTCAATGTCGTGGACGAGAAGCTATGCGGTGCGTTCATGATGCCCGTCGCCAGTCGCATTACAGACAAAGATGCTAATCGGGCCTGCTACCAGACGATATCCTGAAATACATAGGTCCTACACTCGAAAGACACGTCGGCTGCGACTTGGTCGACATCAACCCGGGCGCCGGCGTCTGGAGTCGTAAGCTCCACGAGGTCCTCCAACCACGCACCCATATCCTCATGGAACCCGACGACGAGCTTTACCGACCCTTCCTCCAGCCTCTACTCGAAAATCCAAATACAAAACTAATACCCCAGTCCGGAATCCTTTGGGACGAGCTGAACGAGGTGCTCGGCCACATCCAGAACCAGGTCCCTCAGCCGAGGGGCCCCGACATCGAGCCCACGCGCAACGACACCCTCCTCGTGACGGCAAACCTCGCTTTCTTCCCCAAGAAACGCTATCGCAACTTCGATTCCGTCGCCTCACTCGTGCTCTTCCAGCTCATCAGCAGTATCCGGACCGGCACACTATTCCAAAAATATGGCCTTGTACGCATGCTGGTGTGGGCCAACAACGACGATCAGCGCTCGTTCCTAGCAAGGAATCTCCAAGGGCGGCGCAAGTCGTCGATTGAGGCCGAGTTTGCGTGCGAGTGGCTCGGCGTCGTGGCCGGCAAGGAGGCGCATTCGAACTCGGACTCCAAGAGAGACGTTTGGCACGTTCGCGATCGGTGGATCGATATCGACAGCACGATGGACACACTGGAAAGGATGAGAAAAAATGGCTTGGAGATGCCAGAGGGACGAAAGCTGGATTCTACAACGCAGGCTGAACAAGGGGCCATCAGCACTGGGCGCCACGCAGGCGTGCAAACGCCGTATCTCAGCCGGCCCTACATGGCGGAGCTGAAGGAACTTGAAGACGAGCTGGCGGCCGGCATCCTAGACACGTCGAGTACATCAAAACCTTTCAAACGCCTCAAATTCCTACGGCACACAGTCAAAACCCACGAAGAAGACGCCGAGAAGAACAAGAACCTCCTGGCGGAAATGTACGAGCTCAGCCGTCTGCGTGCGAACAAGGCCGCCCCGGACGCGGAACTGGGCGAGCGCGAACGAGCGTGGGAGGCCAAGGTCTCGGCGCTCGGCAAGAACTTTCTCATCGACTTCCGCGTCCTCCGTGATAATTTGCACATCTTTCGGCAAGACCCGCCGGTGATGCTCTGGGACCGGAGACCCTACGAGCCGCTCGCCGTCAGCCCGGCCGAGTTCTTCCCCAACGTCGAGTGTTGTCTGTTGGACATTCAGCCCAAGGCGATGTATCCGCTCCTACGGCAGTCTGGGCCGGGCACCTCGCACGCGGGCGACATGTTTGAACTGTTCCGAGCGTCCATGCTGGCGCAGGGCCTGGAGCCCGTCAGCAAGTCTCTGGAGCGCATCTGGCCCGGAGCGGCGGAGGGTATCTTACCGCACTGCCCCAGCCTGCGGGACCCGGCGCAGGGAGGACTCAATGCGACGGGGACCGCGGAGCTCTGTTCTAGAGTCCTGAATGAGAAGCAGTGGATGGAGCTGATGGAGGCCTTTATGGCGTGGCCATTTCGGCCAACGTACGAGGAGATGATTGGGCGATTGGCGGACGACATTGAGCCCTCCGAAGATGATCACAACGCCGGCGGCAGCAGCATGTCGACGGATGCGGCATTGGCGTAGAGGCTCTAGGAGAGAAAGCAGGCAGTTCGTGCTGCTATGGAACCTGCGGGCGCCGCGGGCAGCACTCATGATTGACTACGCATGTATAACTAGTAGATTCCCCTGTATCTGTACCATGTAAATCTTAGAGGCAGTATTAACTGGTATGTCAATGTACCACCGTAATTTATATAAATTCATAGAATAGAGACGCGGGGGTGATAGCCTGATAGGTCATGTCCCAATCACACATTGACGGTAGCTGGAGAGAACTTGGCCGCCCACGTTCTTTTCCAATCCTCGCCAACAGGAATCGGGGTGAGGACGAGGATGGACGGAATCGTCGGCTTTCACATGGCTTTTGATCAACGCCTAGCTCCTGGTCCATGAATGTGTTTACATCGTCGTAGTTGGCCTGGAGTGTCGAGCTAGATTCGCTCCATGGCATGACCAAGGTCAAGACGATATTCGTCCGCAATCATTGCTTGGAAACAGTATTTGTGAAGCATGTTGCCTATCTGCCTTGATGCATCTGGAGGCGGTCGAAGCATTTAACGGTGCAGCGTCAATGTCAGGGGTCCCTGGGTCGGGAACCAGCCAGAACAGCGTTCGGGAAGAAGTGCAAGGGATGCATGGCGCATCGCGGGTTGAACAGGGGTTGAGGTCCAGATACATGGACCATGACGACACTGGACGGCACTGAAGGAGAATGAGTTTGTTCGAACTTGAAAGAGTCGAAGCATGACTCCGAGCCTTCTAAGAGCGTTGTCTGGGCCTGGGAAATGGCGAGAAAATGGTTTGATGAAGGCTTGCGCAATTAAATGGGGAATCATGTGCCAGTCTACGCCAGAGTGTGATTGCAATGTGGGACGAGCAGGTTCTTTAGAAAATCAGGAGGCTATGCTCTCTCAGTCTCCTGGTTGTGTCTTATTACGAATTTACTACGTATACGCGTCCGCTGTGCATGTCACTCTACTCTG